CTTTTGCTCTCCAAATAGTACCACATTTACCCCAGCTGACAAGCTGAAGGTGATCCAGCAGACTTTTGAAGAGATCTCCCAGAGTGTACTTGAGTCCCTTCAGGAAGATTTTCTGTGGTCCATGGATGACTTATTTCCTGTTTTTCTCTATGTGGTGCTACGAGCCAGGTAGGCACCAAGGGTGGCATCAGTCAGAAGCTGAGCATAGGCAGGACAAGTACTTGTGTGTTAAATGCTCCTGCTGCTTGTTATATGGTTAGTAACTGGCTTTTTGTAACTCTAAATTCTCCAATTTGACTGTTTGATTTGGTCTGAAAAAGTCTTGAACAATCTTTATTATGAAAAGGCCCTAAATTCAGAATTAAGAAACATTATACTGGCAACTTGTGTTCCCGTGTTCACTTTCCTACTCTCACATGTGGCAGGATAAGGAATTTGGGGTCTGAGGTGCACTTAATCGAAGACCTGATGGATCCCTATCTCCAGCACGGGGAGCAAGGCATCATGTTCACTACCTTGAAGGTATGAAAATTATTCGGAGTTATTAAAGGCTTTCTTTGGAAAGAATCAGCTTTTAGCAATGAAGATCAGCTTAGGACAATTATATGAACATTAGGCTATAACTTCTCTGACTTTTTTAATTGAAATTTTTTACTAGGATAGGCAAGGAAATTTAATGTAGAGCTTTGGCTAACCTCCTAATTGCAGGTACCTCTAAGAAAAATGGTGCAATGTGTAAATATGGATTACTCAAAGGTAATACTGGTTACTGTTGGAGTGTTCTAAATGCTCAGTGTCATTCCCCTGCAACTTAACAAGCCTTCTCCCTATAAAAATTAAAATGAAGCACTTCTTTGGAGATGAGCCATTCCACGAAAGTTTAAGTCTAACATTACATCAAGACTTTCCAAGAATGAAGTTTTAGGGGAAAAAAAACCCCACTCTGTCACTCTCCACATTTTACTCAGTATTCTTATCTTTTTAAGTATAGGAAAAGGAAGAGAGTGTGTTTGGAAGGATATCCTATTATACACTAAGACATTCCTAATAGAAATTTGTTGTTTTGGAAATTTGTTTATCATGTGGCTCTTGGGACAATTCAGCTGTGTGGAGCCTTTTAGCGGGGTTGTTTTGGAGGGAGGCTGTTAATCTGAAACTTAAGTAAAAATCTTAAACTGAAGTGTTAGGTTATCATGATTGTATTTTGTGGCTGTGCAAACTCAAAACAGTTGAGACCAGAGGATTGTTTTTTAAGACCTATTAGTTTCATAATGTTGCAAAAAAGGAAGGTTTGCATTGGTTCAAATTTACTAAAGAACCTACATGGTGGAAGCAGAAGTAGAATCTAATTTGCCATGAGTGCAAATGTTGTCTGAGACATTTATATTAAGTTTCTGATCCTGGCTGATCTGAACCAGTGCGTATTTGAACCAGCATTAAGAAGTGAATAACTCTCAACAGAAGGTCAGGGTGATGGAAACCTTTGCTTTTCAGTCTGAGTGCTTTTGAAATGCTTCATCCCTGCATCCTTGTCCAGTAAAAAATATTTTCTGTTTTTGAATCCTTCTGTCAAAGGGCATAGAGAGACTTGTAACCAAAAATATGCTTTCATCTTGGCATAGCTGGGAGCTGTGAAAGTATTGAGTCCCAAATCATGCCATCTTGCTTGATTAGGTGTTGGATGTAATTTGTAACGTAGTCTCCTGTTGCTCATTTTGCTAGCTTATGTATCAAATCGTTCTCATGTGTGGAGTGCCACTGCTTGTCCTCCATTCTCTTGCATAGGAAAAAAATCAACCTTTTTGTGTGTGATGCTTTGCTGTGAACTGGCACTTGTGCTAATCTGAGCTTTGTTTTAATTCAGGCATGTTACTACCAGATTCAACACGAAAAGCTTACCTAGACCATCATTTACAACCTGCCTCTGTGGGATAATCTACTCAGTGGAACTTCACTAATGACCACTTCTTTCCTGAAATGGCCCTCAGAAAATACTTGGTTATAGTTCTGCTGCTACAGATGAAAATACTCTGTTGTTTATTCTGAACTCTCAGTTCTAAGATTCAAAAACTGCAGCCAGAAGCTTTCTGTGAAGTGGTGAAGTTAAAGACTTGGTTTGACAAGTACCTACTAAGAAGAAATACTTTCCTATTCTAACAGAAAGATTATTTACTCCTTTTAAATTACCGTGCTGCACAAAGGCATGGCATCCACATAGAACACATGTGAGAGTCTGGACCGCATGGCTTCCAAAGCAGGGGTTTGTTTCTATTATTCCTGGTTTATCAGCAGAAATGTTTAAAGGGAATGAATTGCACCACAGAACCATTTGGTCTTCCTGAATTAAGCTGTATGTTTTATTTAAGAAAATAGAAATATGTTAGTATTTATAATGGGTACCCGTAGTGTGTTTGGCTGTAACGGTTTTGAGGCATCTGTGTTGAACAGCATTGCTGAATGCAGTATTCATGTGCTGTTGTGGAAATAATCACACTGTCACGGACTTCCTATTTACTAAAATTGTAAATACGCAGGCATTTACCATTCTTTCTGTTTATGAAATAAATAAAAGGCACTGACCACTTCAGATTTTGGCACTGAATGGAATGCTGTGCAGTGTTCAGTTTGCTTACCCTGAGGACGAACGCTGTCTCTGTCAGCCCTTGTGGGCTGGTGGAGAGGTGAGAAGGGTGAAGGGTGCTCTTGAACAGATGTGCTGGGTTGACCTTGGTTAACACCAGGTGCCCACCAGGCTCCTCTTTCACTCTCCTCCTCAGCAGCAAGTGATGTTTGGTGCCTTCCTGGGAAGCAGGGCTTAGCATGCAGAGGTGTTGCCCAGAAGCAAACTCCTGGCACCAATGCCAAGCTCTTCCCACTGCAGGGAAGCTCCGGGGCAGTTCACCCTGCAGGCTGCGTTGGGATGGCTTCTCCAGCAGTTTGGAACTCTGCTGTCACTCCTGGTTCTGCCTGTGCCCAGCCAGAGCTGCCTCTGAGGCAGACCTTGAGTGCTCCCATGCTTCCCACTCGGAGCAGGATGCACTGGGCTGTCTCTTGGCACTAATTACAAGGTGTTCCCACTTTGGGAAGGGTCCCTGCAGTCCCGTAGACAATCCTGATCACACCTGCTGGAGCAGTTCACCTTGGAGGCTGCAGAGAAGAAGTTGGTTCCCTGGAGAATCTGTGAGTGTGTGTGTGTGTTCTGTGGTTTATGGCTAACTTCATTTATACCAATAACACTGGTGGGTAACTAGAGTGCAGTAGGTGCCAGGACTGATTAAAAAAAATAAAAAAGGGACGAGAAATGTAGATTACAGAATGTTATAATAGCTTAAGTTATGTTAGACTCCATAGATAATGCTTATCATATTTTGAAGTAGTGATCATGGCGTGTGTATTGGCATCTAAATGGTAAGAACCCATATGCCAAAATACTGTTGTGTTGAACAACAGTTGCAATGTAGCAGTTTTCATAGTAAAGTAAAAGTAATTGGTCTTTTCAAAATGAGTTTTATCAAAGAAGGGGAAAGAGTAACTTTGGAACGATGATATTTAAAATTACTGTTAAATTGCAACAGACTATAGTGATGAGAAAATATAGAGTGGACTTCGTGTTTACAAACAACTTAGTGTTGGCTTAATCTTATTTTTTAAATTATACTGGATAATTCAAGGAGAGATAATAATATGAATAAAAGGGAAGCTATAAAAGGCTAACTTGAGAGGGGTGGAAGACACAACTGGGGGTGAAGAGCATAATGAATGATAAGGCAGAATTCAAACACTTCATCTTGCACTAGATGCATGCAATCACCTCTTGTAACTCCATGTAAAAAAAAAAATTAACTGAAGCCTGTAGGAACAGAACTGCCCTTTAAAATGGGGCTATGCTGAACAGCTGAGTAAATCAATGGCAATTTTCATCTGCAGAAGATCTGAATTCAGGATTTATTTTGCCTTTTGTGGGAGTGTAATCATGAAAAACAGATTTGGGATTGATTTTTTCCCCCTGTAACTGCTTTGAATTACGATTTTTTGTATTTGGATATTTCAGAAGAAAGGATTTTAATGTTATGCTTTGTTTCATATGAAGTCCCAGATTGATTTTGTGCCTTAAACCAAAAATGTAACTAGAAATAGGAAATTCTTCCATATTATTTCTGCTTTTCAAGAACAAGGTATAGCTACAAATAGCAACTTTAAATGGTGTAACTTCATTTGCTGTGAATGGTGCAAAGCTGAGAGTTACAAAACCCAAAGGATACATCTGCCTTTACATATATAAACACAGAGACAGGTATGTATATATACACTCAGTCTCTAGAAAAAGTAGTGGTATCACGTATGAATTCAGCTTGGCTGAATTAGGGAAGCAGACAGTCTGGGCTGGATTATTTTTGGTCCTTCTGATATGTAGCTCAGTTATTAGCTGAAGAGAATCCCTGGATTAAATGTGTTTCTGACACAGATTCCACTTTACAGCCGATCTGGGCTGGGACGCATTAGGAAATCAGTACAGACCAGCTCTGATTTGTGTATTGCTGGAACTAACAAAGAAATGAGTTAACCTGCAGGACCTTTCCAGCTGGATTGCTTCAGGGTAATTACTTTTTTCTCTTTTTTTTTTCCTCTTTAATGGAAAGCCGGGTATTTCCTGTGCTGCAGCAGAAATCCTGCAATCAGCCACAGAAGATCAACACTCTGGTGTTACAGATTGTCACTGCAATCACAGGCATGGTAGCTGCAGACAGACCCCAAGTGATGACTGGGAAAGTTGATGAGAATAAGAAGCTATTTAGGTGAGAGATGATGTATTTTTTTAATGCGAGAAAAGGGTTAAGGGGATTTGTTCTCTTCTCCCTGGTAAGGAGTAGTTCTAAGGTTAGGTTTCTGCGGATTAGAAAGGAGAGGATGTCCATAGATTAGCTGGGGCCGTGAGGTTACTTGCTGTACTAACGTCCAACGAATACTCTTTCCCTCTGGAAATTCTGCATGAGCTGAACATGGCGTATTCTGTGGGGTTTGCAGGTAAGAAAATTTGCACTGTACTGAAACCATTGTTCTGCAAGGATGCATTTCCCCCATGTAAATGTGAAATTAGTTTCCTCTCATAGCTGTAGCCAAGCTATTTAAACTTCTGATACCTGTTTAATTCTTGTTAGCTAAAAATTAGAGGGCTGTATGTATGCGGAGTAGGAGGTTGAAAGGGATTTTTTTCTTCAGTCCTGATCTTCACAGAACTATACTTGTTTTTAGAAATAGGTTAGGAAACTACCTGTTCTGGTATGTTGAGAGATAATGCAGAAAAATGTGTGACTGATGCAGGACTGTAAAACAAATCCTTTTTCAAACAACCTAGCTGTGTACTTCTAAGTTGATTTAGTATCAATACAGTGGTTGGGTGTTTATTTAGGGGGCTTTTGGTTGTCTTTGGCTTTCTGTAAGTCCAAACTGTTGGCAGTAAACATCTGAAAGTAAAGCTGGCTGCCCCTTATGACTCCATCCAAGTGTTCTCTGAGTGCTGCTCTTTTGGGGAGCAATTTTTTGGCAGTGCTTACCCCATGTAAACACAGCACTTGCCCCACCACTGCAGCTCTGAGGTTGTTGGAGGGAGGCAGAATGAACCACCACTGAATAGATCTGAGTACAGAGAGTAAAAGCATAAATTACCTCAGATATGCCGGTGTGATTCTGTGAAATCTCACAGAATGCCTGGTGTGAAGGTAATGTTTTTTCCTTTTTTTTTTTTTTTTTTTTAAACTCTACTGCCTCTGACTTCCATTAAGAGGTGCTTAGGTATGAGATAAGGATAAATGGTTTCAAAGGCTTAAGTTGTGTCAATTTATCCCATTAATATTTAGGGTTGCTTCTTTAGCTAAAACACTTTAGTGTCTCAGAAAGCAAGATGGTTCTTTACACTGACTAGAAAAGAAGCTGTCAGACTTCAGTAATTACACTGGCCTAATTAAGCTTATTCAATGCAGAAAAAAAAAGTCCCGAACAGGGCATGTGGTTTGAGTTGTTGAATCTTTCCCTCCATTTTTTGCCTACTCACTTTGCTGATTTAGAGTAGCTTATTTGCAACAAAAGCTTTCACAGAGTGTTTCCTTCCCTCAAGGTAATTTGCAATCTTAAATATGCCAAATCATTAATTTTGGCAAATTTAAAGATAGGAGTATTTTTCCTTGTAAAAAGGGCTCAAGTCTTACATATTAACCAAAGCACTGTATAAGAGCAGGGGAGCAATGTTCTGGATGTCAGGTTCTCTGATGTTGTCCCCTTCAGAGGCTTGACAAGATGCAAAATTGTCCACTTAAAGACAATTCTGAAACTGCATTAAAACAGGGCTTAGGTTCCCTTGCAGCTCTAGCCTTGTGTCAATAAGACCTTCTCATCTGTCTGACAGTTAGGGTCAAGGAATTTTATACTCTGCTGCTGAAGGAGTAGCTCAGATTTGGGATAACTGATGTTTGCAGACTTGAGGTGACTGACTCATTTTGACTCAAATTCTGGCACACTCGGTGTGGATATCCAGTTCTTTCTCTAACACCAAGCAAAGAGAAATGTCTTCTGTTAATGGCAATCTGTAATTGCTTGCAATACACGTGAATGGGAAGGCCCTTACACTGCCTGGGAGATTAGTCAGGTAAGCCTTTTAGCAAGAATTTCCATCTAATTTATTTAGATCCCTGGATGAGGAGACCCTGAGCTCTGGCCTTGGAGTCTACGTAGACAGAAGTCTTAGGAAATAAAGGCACAGGAGTAATTCTACATTTATTTGAACTCCGACCTTTGCCCTTAAGCAAGCAAGCCAGCATCTGTTGTTACTGACAGCTTCTGAAAGCAGGCTTCACAGTTGGAAGCTGCTTTCCTTTTGTTGTATGTAAATACAAAACAGCTACTAATTTCTGACTGAGGTGAGCTGTGGTCAGAACTTGACAGATTTTGATGTTCAAATGCCACTTCTGTTAGTGTGAGCATAAACTCTTGGTTTAAGATGACAGAAATGGATGGAAACTCTGATAGCTGTAGCTGAGGGTTTCACTCAACAAGGCAAGCAAAACCTTCAGTAGCTTTCCCAGATTTTTGGGAAACCTGAGGTTCATCTTCAAGATAACCTGTGTCCAAAATTTCTAAACACATTCAAGTTGTTCCCACATCTGTTCTCTATGGAAGCTGTACTGATACCAGAAGCTGCAATGCTCTATGGGGAAAAAAGAATCCCTTTTAAAATATTCAAGGGACCATGATATTGTTTGTGTTTTAGCAGAATCGGAAATACTTTAGCATCTCCAGAAATGTTTTTTGTTTCCAAGTGCTTTGTCTCAATTAAGAAACAGGTTTTCATGACTAGAATTACATGTCCTGCTTTGTTAAATCCATCATTAGGTAGATCAACTAAGCTTAAAAATGAGGAAGGCAATTCCTTAAGGAAAAGAACTGAGACTATTGAAAAATATTAAATAATTGCAGCTCAAACCCCAGTTGTACTGGGGGAAGATCAAACTATATTTTTGTGAATCTTTGAAAGAAAAAATAATAATTATAAAAGCAGTCTTCAGGTTAGAATTTCAATAAGATGTACCATTGAGTATCCTGTAGAAGTAACTTGAAATGAATTGCCCAGTCTCAGTAATAAAATATTTGAGTCATAATCTCATAATTTATGACTTTTTTCTCCCTTAATTTCCACTGCCTTTTGAAAGCAGTTTTATGATTTAACAGGAGAGAGAGGAAGCGTGTTCTAAAAATAATTATTAAATGGAGTAAAAGTGACAGTAATGCCTTCTGCTTTTGTAAGCAGATCAAGATAATACTTTTCCTGCTTGTACCTTTGCTGTTTTCTGTCTACAGAGCAATCTAGAGGAAAATGGCTGCCTTTTTACTTTAGGAATCCAGGAGATAAACTAGTGTGTATTTAGCAGAATTTGGTGTAATGCATTCATTGTGCCACCCTGGGGTTCACTGTTGCCTCAGGCACTCAGATATTTGATGTTAGTGTTTTTGCTTGTAGTCTAAGTTATCTCTTGAGCGGGCAGTTGAAATATATAATTCTTTAAGAGTAACCTACAATACTGCTAATCATGACAATATCTTTACACTTGTATCAAGTGTGAAGTTAAATCAGCTAGGATGTAATGAAGATTTTGAACTGCTTAAGAGCTTTCATACATAGATTCTGGATGCTGTAGGGTATAAATGCAGTGTGTGGTATTCCCTGGGGAATACTTCCATACTTCTTTGAGAAGAAGAGTTCAGAGAATTCTCTGAAGCAGTCCTGTACTGCATTGTTTGCCATGAACAGCACATTGAAGAACTTCTTCCAGTTTTAGTTTAAGAGAACATTATAGGCTAGTGATGGGTTGCCACAGAATTTTAAGGGAGGGAAGGAATTTGAAAGAAAATTTTAGAAGTGCATATTTTCTGGAAAGGTCATGCGACATGGATACACATTAATTAGTAAGTGTTGTCTTCCTGCATTGCTTAAAAATGCTGATTTTAAAATCTAAAGAAAAAAATAAGGTAGTATATGCTGCTTTTTATAATTAAAGAAATCAGCAACACATCTTTAGATTAGCAAATAACTTCTTTGATTCCATCTCTGAAAGTGACAACCTATTATAAATTGCCTGAGAGAGATGATGATACCAGCAAGGTAAGAAATGGGGTTTTTTATCTGGGCTTGGGGTTTTTGGGTTTTTTAATTCATTGTGAGGAAATAAGAGAAAAATAATTGAAATCTCTGTGGAACAAACCTTTCAAAGACATTAAACTCTAATAGTGATAGAGACAGGGATCCCTTTTTTCAAAATAATGTCTTTGCTCAATGAAAATTCAGTAGAAACTCCAGTCTTTCAGTTTTAATATTGTGTCAATATTAAGAGGAATTAAATGTAATGTATCCTTGAATATGATTATTTTTCCGAGCTATATGGGTATAAAACAAGATATAAGTCTTTAGAAAAAACTATGGCTTCTTATGGTGGTACACGTAAGAAGCTGCAGAGGTAGAAGATGGACCAAACTGCTTTCTGTTTTCAATGACTTAATGAAGCAATTCTATAAAGAGAGTAAAATGCCATACTGCAGTTGTGGTTTGTCTGTCTGCATCTTGGATGCTACTGGTGGCTGAATTTACAGGTGGGACTCATATATTTATTTTTTACACCCGTTGTGCACTTTAAATACAAATTATTGCCCACCTCTTCCTTTGTTTTGAGTTCTGCTTTCTTATCAGTGTAAAATACCTGACAGTATTCTGATATGAGGGTGCTCTTTTCCCTAGTTCATCATCTCTGTGAAACCAGCGTGGTGTGAATGCAGTATTCAAAGTGAGTGGAATCTCCTTGAATAAAGGAGAAGATGGAGGTGCCAACAGTCAGCAATAAAGATAATGGTAACTTTGCATCTCTTTTTCAGTTTTCTTTCTCTTTTCAAAAAGTTCTATTCCTTATCTCTGTGGCTCTTCTTCCATTGAGTCATGAGAGAGATGAATATGTCTGAAGTATTACTACTCAACAATTGGAATGATTCTTGATGTTCATTGGTGGTGTGCAGTTAACTTAAGAGAGCATCAGAGGAGAATACCTGGCATTTGTTTCTGGTTTATAAAGCCAAGGAGTTTTTTGTTTTTTCACCTCTTCTGGGTAGGAGGTATGAGCTTGAACCCAGACTGTTACATGTGAGATTGCCTGCCTGCTTTTCTCACAGGTTAGTTGCAAACTGCTAGCAGTGACCTAACCCTGCTGGGTAATAACACGGTAAAATAGCTCTTATGCAACAGAGTTGATTGCAGGAAAAGAAACAAGGCAGACAGAAGTACAAATTGAGGAAAGGTGCATTTCAAAGGTCTGGTCACTGTTTGGCTTTGGTTGGTCTTCTCTTTGTACTGAAGTGTCTTGCGCTTTTCTGTTTCTTGGGCTCAGGTGTATCTCATGTTCTGACTCTAGCGCTGCAAGAGCTCAGCTTGCTCTGCAAGAGAGATGTCAATGGCGTTGGCATGCTCTATGACCTGCTCAGATCTCGCTGGCTGCAAGCACTGCTGAAGGTAAGCTTCCACACAGCTAGGAAAGCAAGGTCAACTGCAGAACAATCTCTAGGGAACAGCTACCTGGTTTTGCCATATGAGGACAATAAATGCTTATTGACACTAAGTGCTGATAGTCCTGATGTCAGTTCTAACATCAGCAGTCACAGTAGACGAAACCACTTATGCTTTAAAGGAAAATGAAGTATTCTCTTCCACAATGTCCTCGGCATTTAGGCTCTTCTACTTTACCTGTCTGTACTAAGGCCAGGGGAGAGACACTGAACACATCATTGCTCAGTTGTCTTGCCTGTTCTTAAATTTCTGTATGGCTATGCATCCCACTTCTTGGCCTGTGACACTGTATTTTATTTTGCATCCCATTCATCTGATGTGTAATTGAAGATCTTACATTGTTAGAGAACAGAGTTTTGACAGGTGTTTCTATCTTGAGAAGAATTTTATCTGAGACAAATTCTGTAAAAATTCTGCTTTTCTTTAAGAAGGATTTTTAAAGAGGAGCTTTTACTGGATAAGAATGCTCATAAGGGCAATTTAAATTGTGCAGCAATTATGCAATTATGCAGCAATTATGCCTTCAGCTAGAGGAAGGAAACAGGCTACAAGTCAGAGAATTTACTATCAGGCTATTTACCTGTGTAGACAGCTTTTCTTCTAGGAAAATTCAAAACTGCAGTAAAACTGGCTAGCTACCTGATAATATGGAAAGACATTGAGTTCAAGACTCAATCCCAGATGCGTCAGATATTAAGAATTGAGATTGCAGACTCTGAGGCTGTAGTTGGACTGAGAAGTTTTCAGAAATAGTGTTGTCCATTGCCTGTCGTGTATGTATCTATATGATCATGTGAACTGGTCAATGTCATCATTGCTTTGTTTTGTCTCTTATGGCATGCAATAGATTTATGAATGCCTCCAACACTATCTTGCAAAAAGGCCAGCTCCTGTCACACTGCAGGCACGTGCATTGAGTCGTGAGGTGAGATTGTATGCACAGTTTATTGCTTTTACTTACCCATACCAAATGAATGGACTCTGCTGCAGTTAAGTGTTCTGGTATTTATTCTGTGTCTCAGATCTAAGTACAGTATATAAACTTGAAACTCTCCTTACACATTTGTAAAACTACTCAACAGCCCTTACTGTGGTGGTGGGGGGCGTGGCATGAGAAGTGGGCACAGCTGTGGTTGCTGGACTATGCAAATCCTGGCCAGTGTAATGAACACAAATGTTAATTGTTTAATCACTGACCATGTATTTTTCTTCCCACGTAACATTGTGGTTCAGTGTTATGGCTACAATCAAGCAGACTGACATGAGGATATTGGAAAGCTTTTTAGATTTTTCTAATTATAATAGCTGAATTCTAAATCTTTTAATTAGTGGCAGAGTTAATGACAAAGTAGAGAAACTGAGACTAGTGATGAAATGGGTTGAGAGATGGGAGCAAAAACTGATTTAGAGCACATGGCACTGTGCCTGAACTAAATTAAGCCTGGCTGAGTGTTGTGCAGCTGTGGTCATATTGTCCAGTTCTAGAGCAAACCATATGGACATCCTCTGACTCACATAATGTGGGGGGGGCTTTACACTGTCTCCATTCCTTTACATTCAGTGTAGAGCTTTTTAAATGAATTGTCCTCTAGAATCTATCTCTGCGCTTATTTTCTGACATTTATCAGGTAGTAGAGTTACTGCATGAAGCCCCCCAGTCAGGAGAGACCAAAGAGCTAAGACGGCTACTGCGTTCTCCACACTTCAAGGCAAGTCCTGCATAAGGAAAGAAAAAGTTTGCTCATGGAGCTCTCTGCAGTGGGAATGGAAATGGATGGCCAGCTGTTCATAAGAATTGGTAAAGGGACCAGAAAAGACATAGTTTACTAAATGATGAACTAATCAGATCATGAGATCAAATGTGGACTGTGTATCTGAACTACCTGCAGTGGGCTGCATTTTACTTAAGGCTGTGTTTGAAAGATGTTTCTTACGAAGTTTTTAATTATGGGCAGTTAATGCAGATATATAAATCAAATTTTCCTTGAAATTGCAGAACCTGCATTCTTAATCTAAGAGCTCCAAATAGAAATATTTCTTTCATCTTTTGAAGATTTTCGACAAGAAACAGAGGAACTGTTCTTAAAACTTTCATGGTTTGATTTTCTTGGTGGAAAGAAGAAAATGTCAATATATGCAAGGGATCTGTGTTCACAAAGGAACACATTCAGTGATTTCTGGTTTCTGACCAGTCACTGTTTAAAGCTCTGCTATTGTATGATCTTTGCTTATGGGTAAGTTGGTTTGCTTGTTTTCATTTGTAACAGGCCTTGCTATCTGCTCATGATACTGTGGCCCAGAAAGATTTTGAACCAACCCTTCCACCACTGCCAGACAACATACCTGAAAATGAAGAAGCTATGAGGATTGTCTGCTTAGTGAAAAACAACCAGCCTCTGGTGAGGGACCTTTCTTGTGTCTGTCAAATTTTTTTAACTTGGAAAGAATTAATAATGCACGGGATGCATATTGGGTTCTTCCCAGGAATGTCATGGGGATTATGTGCATTCTTGTCCAGATTTTACAGAATCACAAGAATTGTTGAGGTTGGAAAGGACGTGAGAAGATCATCTAGCCATGCATGGTGTGGGTGTAGGTTGTTCAGTGCCTTGTCTGCTCAGCATTTGAATATTTGGCAGATGTATTTTCATTATATGAGATAAAAGCAAATGGGATTGAGAGTTATTCCCATGGCCAAAACAGAAAGGAAGGGAGGAGAGTTCTTTAGTAATCTTTTGTACTTACAAGCAGCAAACATTGTATAGTTTAGCTAATCTGTTTTAGGAAAAGATCACTGTAATATTGGGGATAAAAAAAGATTTCTAACTGTCAATCAATTACGTTATTTTAGTGTGATGGAAGTTGAAGACATTGAAGGATTTAGTACTAATACATCACAGCCCTGGAAACTACAGGCCTGTGAGTCTCACTTCAGTGCCTGGTAAAGATATGGAGAAGATTATTGTGGGAGGTATTGAAAAACACCTGAGGGACAACACAGTCATTAGTCACAGCCAGCACAGCTTCCTGAGGGGAAAATCCTGCTTATAAAACCTGATTTCCTTTTATGACAAGGTGACCCAGGTAGCTGATCAGAGGAAGCCAGTTGGTGTAATCCTTTTGGAATTCAGTAAAGTTTTCAATACTGTCTCTCAGAGTATCCTTCTGGACAAAATGTCCAGCACACAGCTGGATAAACACATGATGGGATGGGTGAGCAAGTGGCTCATGGGTTGGGCGAAAAGGCTTATAGCGACTGGGGTTACATCAGACTGGGGACTTGTCACTAGTGGCATTCTGCAGGGCTTCATCCTTGGCCCTGTGCTCTTCAACAGCTTCATAAATGATCTAGACACATTTATGCTCAGAAAGGGTTCTGAGCAAGTTCATAGGAGATACAAACCTGGGAGTAGCTGTTGACTCCCTTGAGGGCAGGGAGGCCCTGCAGAGAGACCTCAACAAAGGAGAGGGCTGGGTGATCACCAACTATGTGAAGTTCCACAAGGGAAAGAACTGAGTTCTTCACCTGGGATGGGGCAACCTTGGTGTATGGACAGACTGGGAATGAGGTGCTAGAAAGCAGTGGAAAGAGACCTTGGGTCTAGGTCAATAGCAAGTTGGATATGAGTCAGCAGTGCCTTATTTGGTCCCTTCCAACTCAGCTTATTCCATGATTCTGTGGTTATTGCTGTATCCATGTTGTGGTAAAAAGGCTGTATCCCTCAATGCATTTGTGTCAGCGTGAAGATCAGACTTGTGATATGGAAGGAAACTTTGGGTCCTTCCCTTGGGGAAGGAAACTTACTGGGGTCCTTTGGTGATCAGTGTGTTTTTCCTTTGTTCTTACCTGCCAGGGTGCCACCATTAAACGCCACGAGATAACAGGTGACATAACGGTTGCCCGTGTGATCCATGGTGGGCTGGCAGACAGAAGTGGTATGTGGAATTTGAAACAAAGTGGTACATAAAACTGAACTTGAAATAAGATATTTCAAGATAATACCTTAGCTGCTACAGTTAATCTTCCATTATAGAGCAAGATAATGTGCACATGGGACAGCACTGGAAGCAGTGATGCATTGCAGTGACTTTCATTCTGACTTTATAGATTTTCAGATGAATTTGCTGTTTTAGACTGAGTTGATGAAGAAATCCAGTTTTCATTATGTGTTCTTGGGACCACTACGTGGATATCCCAAATTGCAGTGTAGTATGAAATGCAGCATATTCCCTAATGGAGAAATGGTAAACATTGGTGATTCTAGAAGATAATGGGCTTTAAGGAATATGTAATAATACTTTTTGGCACTACTCTACTAAACACCTTGCTTAGCATTAGTAGCTAAGCAATCTTGCAGGGAGTTTCCTTGGAAATGTTACTATTTTGTCATCCTAGAATTGAATGTGTTCCATGTCCCTTAGGAAATGTAATGTAATTAAAATGTAAAACTTCAGAAGTAAAATTCAACTGTAATCATTATAAAATAATTCCTTCTAGTATTTTCTGACCTTTGCATAGAGAAGAAAACCCACCTTGCTGAAAATAGCTGATTAAGTTCCTAGTTTGACTAATATTTTTATTGAGTTAAAGAAACATGGAAAAGAAAACAATATTGTGAAGACTTTACTATAAAGGACAGAGAGGAGTCCCAGGACCTCCCACTGCACCTGGAGTTTTTAGAGGTCTGATTCCAAGTCTCATGGTCTGTTAATATAGGATAGGTTCATAATTTAGTTTGGGAAGTGGAGCAATATTAAAATGTTTATGTGAATTTTAAGGCACATTATCAGTGCATTGTAAAGATGTCATATGGGGGAGTGGAAAGGATTAAGAAAGCTGAAGCATGCAAGCTCCTTGTGACCTGAAGCAGTCCCATCCAGGGGCAGTGCAGCCTGAATCCAAAATGCCTTCCTCCACACATGGTGCAGGAAAATTTTAATGCTAACTTACACACCTGTGATATTTCTGTGTGACCCTGCCTTGCCTATCCAAGATAAATCATGCTGTGATAAAACTCCTGCTGCTGTTTTCATATTTGTTCTCATGGTAGGGTTGCTGTATGCTGGAGACAAACTGGTGGAAGTAAATGGAGTTCCTGTTGAGGGACTTGAGCCTGAGCAAGTCATTAATATTCTGGTATTTAATATTTTTTAAATATGTTTTCTACTTTGCACCTTTAATATTATTTGTATGCTTGCACTTTTACACACTTACACACTCTTGTACATGAGAGCCTGAAATTTTTAACAGAAAATTCAGATTGTTTCCTTACTGTGAATGAAGTTCCCAGCTGCTCATGAAATCAGAATATATGAAAGCAGAATTAAATCTAACCTCTGTTCTGGGCAGAAATTAACTTAACTGTGACCATTACATCTGCAGCTTCTGGAAAAAACACTAATTTATTCAGCCTTCACTGATTCATACTTTTTTCTGGAAGTGTCACTCAGAAATATTCCACAAGAAAGTCGTGGAAAGCTGCTATTCTAATAAGAGTCCGTGTTACAAAATGCGCTAAAGCAGAATGAATGACCTTACCTTGCAAGAAAAAGGCAGTGTAGTCACTGTTGTCAAAATTCTCATGAAGAAATCTGTTGAGGTGTCCCTGTTTTGTCATTTTGCACAAAATTTTTCAGGGTTCTTGACTGTTAAGTGCCAGCTAGTGAGGTATTTCTGTGTGTAATCATACAGAGTTTATGTGCCATTGCCATGGTTGTAACATTTCTAGGTATAAGCAACACAAACTCTATTGGAATGTTTAATTACTAAATTATGTTCCTCCCCCTTTATATCACCCATCTAACCAGACCCTGTTGCTAATTTAAATAAGATTTCAGTAGAAAAGTTTGGTATGAATCAATGCTGAAATTTCATATACTTACAATGAAACATAGGTTGCATTAAATTAAAAAATATTTAACAAAACTTTGATGTTGCATTCTTGTGTTTCCTTTTGGAAAAAATAGAGTATTGTCACATTGAGTCTGTCTACCTGAATTCTATCTGTAACACAAACATTGCAGTATCCTCAAGCCATGCTATGTCTTGTCTATGTTTGATTACTTGTGTTGAATACCAACCGTATTTTAATTCTTTTCTAATCATTTAGGCCCTGTCTCAGGGAACAATTATGTTCAAATTAATTCCGGTTTCTGATCGGCCTGTCAGCAACCAAACAACAGTAAGAAACATTCCTTTTCTTTTCCCAGACTGGTAGCAGTAGTGCCCAATTGTGTGATACAAAGACATGGTGTGGCCTGGAAGTTTATTGCAATCCCTAAAGTGTTACCTTGCCTTTATGGCTGCCTCTAATCTGACATCAATATGTTGTTGCTGAAGCAACAAAGACAGTAAGTAGAAATGTAACTGTGTAATAAAGGCACTTTCAGAGTGATCTACAAGTAGAAGGTCAGTTCTTTTCATGCATGCATAAGATAAATGGGTTTTTTCTCATTTAACGAACAGAGAGCTTTTAAGGCTTGATCTGGTTCTTCAAACTTGACTTCATCATTAGACTGAAGTTGCAGCAATATCTGGCCCTGTGATTGTAAAGCCCGTGTTGTGTCCATTCTAGACTTGGCTTCTGCTCACTCTTGTATGTTTTCTTTACTAGCTGTATGTGCGAGCAATGGCAGATTACTGGCCCTTGCAAGATCCTGCCATTCCATGTGCTGATGCAGGTTTGCCTTTTAAGAGGGGTGAAATACTCCAGATTGTGGATCAGAATGACGCTCTCTGGTGGCAGGCCAGGAAAGTTTCCGATCTCAGTGCCTGTGCTGGACTCATACCCTCAAATCATCTTCTTAAAAGGTAAAAAATATCATCATTTTCCTGATTTCTGGTTCAAAAATCAGCCAGTTATTAAAAGTTTTCCTAAGTTTTGTAGCAGTATGATTCAGAGTGACATCTGACAAACATCTTTCCTCTTTCTGATCTCTGACTTCTTGCTATTTTTCCCTTAAGAGCACCTGTGTGAGAAGGAGCTTTTGAAAGCACCTGTATAATCTCAAATTGCCATTTAGGAAATTTGCAGCACTTATCCATTCTCCATGCTGGTTGCTAAGGTACCTGGTGGAGTGTAGCAGCTGAAAGATGTGTGGAAATTGAGGGCCCTGACTACTAAATGACCATCATCTATGATGAAAAAAAAAGCAAAGGGAAGAGAGGGATACTTAAAGCATTGTGTATTTTTAAAGATGTCCATGATGCATGCGTGACCTCTTCAGCTTTGCTCAAAACTGAGTACACCAGATTAGAAGAACAGAGAAGAAAACCAAACACTCAAGAAAGAACAAGGGTCTCTTGCCTATTATTTTCTGCATAAATAGAGCATTATTTGTACACTACATGCATACAGAATCAGAGTTCTTACACTGCTGTAGCAAACTTTTCAATCTGATCCTTTAACCACATGTCCTGTGGTATCCCCCGGATAATGTAAGGCCATGCAATAGCACATGATAAACTTCACTTTGTGATAAATATAAACCTACCTGCAGTCTGTATAATGCAAGGTGAAATCAAACTGGGTGACTCAGGCTGCAAGAGGCTCTGTGCAGTAAAGGAGGCAGTAGTACTACTACCCCTACCAGTAGCACACTCTTCTACTTCCAGGAGTCTGTACCGCAGTATGGCTTGTCTTCCTGTACTTTCATATAAATTCTTAGTACTTCAGGGCTGCTGATTTGGAAATTTGAATACTTCTGGTAGCACATTGGTTTTATTTCAGGTCTTTGCAGTGGGCTAAAACACTGGTAATGTTTCAGTTCTTGCTGTCTTCTCTCAGTTCAATACTGATCAATTTTACATGTAAGCAGTGAATCTGACTGGAGCATAATGTGCTTGTGGACTGTTTTGTTTATTTAACTGTGATAAATTTATTTCTATGTAGGAAGCAGCGAGAATTCTGGTGGTGCCAGCCCTTCCAGCCCCACCTCTGTCTCAAATCATCAATGTGTGAGTGAAAAGTTACTTGAGTGATATAGCAGGAAGGATCTTGTCTCTGTTTCAGGGATGCTGAAATAAAAGCTTATACAATTCAGCTTAATTCAAAGAAATTGTTTCTGGAGCCATATTGTAACCTTCAACTGTGTTAACTATCCCCTGAAAAAAAAATTCTTACTGATAATTGTACCTGGAGTACTGGTGGTGCAGAGGGTTGTCTCCAGTGTACTTGAGATCTGACCATAAGAGAAGCTGTGAAATTCAACTTCTTCTAAAGTCTCTACGTTCTAGGACCTCACTAGGCCAGCCAGTACTCTCTAGGAGAATTGGCTGTAAGTCTTGAGGTGACAATTGTACTGGCCTGGATTTCTGGGGACACAGATATCAGCTCTGCCACTGAGAAGTGCCATGTTTGGGATGTTTCTTTGCCATCAAAGCTATTGAGAAAATAATAGAACTTATTTTCTTAAGGTCTAAGATAAGCTATGCTGCCCTTGAATTGTTTCGTGGTAACAATCCAGAAATATTATCTTCTGCCAACTATAATTTTCTGTAAATATGCAATTATTTCCAGAAAAAGAATGTTCTTCCTGTTTCTTCTGTCCTGATTTCCTTCTATGGTTCTTTATGCAAGTATAAAATTTTTCTCTCATGACAAATCCCAGGGGGTATGTGTTTCATTCCCTAGGATTCTTCTTGCACTGATTGCATTGCTTGCTAGAGCTAAGGCTCTCTTTCACCATAATTTTATTGCATTTTAACTGCTTCAATGGATACGCTGTGAGCAGTAAGCACTGTGGAAGAAGGTAGGAAATCACATCTGGACAGCATTGCATTTCTGTACCTGGAACCAATATGACATGTGGTTGTACAGGCTTTTTAAAAAAGTTGTCAGAAATCAGGCATTTTGATGAATACATGCGGAAGAAGCCCAAGTTCTTGGCATTTTGTGTGCTTAACATAATTGAAATCCAGCCTTTTTTCACCTTTTTTCACCTAGTAGATGCATACATTGTCTTAATGCATAGCTAAGGTTTCCACTTTATCTGTCAGGGAAGTGACAGTTTGGATGGGTTCTTTGAGGAAAGAAAGACAGAATTTCCTCTTTCTCTTCTCCTCCTTACTCTCCTAGACTTCTCCTCCTTACTCTGAGAGAGTATTTCTTTAAAGGATACATATGGGCAGAATGTGATTGACAGATACTCTGACAAGTGCCCTGTAACTGGAAAATAGCTCCTGCTGGGCCTAGCTGGAAGGGTGTGCAAGAGCAAAACACAAACAGTGCTGTATTGTGAGACCTTGAGATTGCCCAAGCTCATGTGATCACATTTCTGGGACATAAATTGATGTAGTCTGGGGATTGAGAAAGAGCTGAATTGATCTTTTCCTTTTCTTCCTTGTAAAAGTAATAATAAAAATAAAAACCAAAATAATTTCCTTGAGTGTAGCCTGTTGGAAAGGTATTTAAAAGATATAAGACAGAAAATTATATTCCCTCATGGTAATACTTAATAAATAGATATCTACTGGATAAACAGATTGACAGGCACATTAAATCTTTCATTATTTCAAGAGGAGAATTCAAGTTGGATGCATTTGTCTCTCTGCCTTCAGACCACTCACTTAAGAGTTTTTGCTCGCTGTAATACAAAGAACATCATTAAATTGGAGTTAACAGTTAAAATCCTTAAAGATGCCTAAAGATTATTTGAGCTTCACGTATCTTGTTTCTGATGTCTGAGTTCAGTCTCATAAGATCTGTAAGGGTGTTTTTCCTCTCCAGTGTTTTTCTGATTCAGATGAATTTTTTTCCCTTGTGTTGATCTGTAGAGGATGACATGCAGATTGACGAAAAGTGTGTGGAAACAGGTAACTGAATTCACTTGAGATTATTTTATTTGCTTCAAGGCAGTAGCTAGTTTAAAGCCTCATTTTCTAGATAAAACCACTCATTCTCCTAGTGAACTTAATGGTAGAAAATTCTATTTTTCATACCCTGGAAACCTCATCTCATATTAGTGTATTAAAATGAGCTGTTTGCAGTTCCGGTGTACAGTGCTTAGAGTCAAGTGTTCTGACCAGCACAAAAATGTTTGCTTGAATGAGATCCAACCACTTTGATTCAGGTGTTGGATTGTGGCTGTAAAGTTATCATGCTTTTTTGCCTATTGCATATTTAATGCCACAGATTGTTGTGGTCTTCGAGAACCCACACAATTCCTTGTCAAGAAATCCATGATCTTGGGAGAACAAGGAGCAAGAATAGGTTTTTTACTTGTGAACACTGAGTGTAAAGATTCATAGCTTGAGTTCCTCCCTAAAGCAGTGCAGTTAATTCTTCCTTCTCCAAGGTAATTGAGAAGCTCTCATGGAGGGATGTGATGCTGTAGGATTGTGTAAAAAGAGATGAAGAAGTTAATTCAAGTATGGTGAGCTGTATTTTACCACCTCAGGGTAGAGGCAGCTGAGGAAAGTATATGTGAGACCAACAGAAGCTGGAAAACTGATTTCTGATTCTGTTATTCATTAGAAGGAAAATAATTAAATTTTGAATTTATTTTAATATCTTTGCTATCTGGATTACTAAACAAGATGAAGAAACATTTGAGTCAGGTAAGTTCCTCTGACCTAACTCTAAGTTCCTTGCTGTTGTTCTGCTGCGAGGAGGATGTCCAGAGACAAGCGTCTTAGAAACAAGCAGGTGGCAAGAACCAAAATGCCCCTTTAGCTTCAGAAGCCATTCTGGCATGAAAAGCCATTATGTAAAATCCTATTGCTTTAAGTCTTCCTCTTGTTCTCTGATTACCTTAGCAGTAAGGTTTCTGTCCTCTTATCCCAGAGTGTGAATGTTTCTTCTCGTGTATCAGTAGCAGATCTATTTATCCAGCCCTCGTCAGTTGTACCCGTGCAAGCTGTGACAGCAGGGCCTGCACTGATGTCAGCAGATAATTGGATTACCTTCACTAATATGGAGGCCTGAATCCCCAGTGCCTGTAGGAGTTGATGTGGTAAAGAGGAAAGCTGCTTCTGGATTCCTGATTGTGGGCATGGCTGACATACATGAACAAAAAATGCTTACAAAATTCATTATTTATGTATAAAAAATACAATCAATAAGTACTCTTTTTTTGACCAAACTGATATAGGAGTTTTTGGTTGTTTGTTTGGATTTTTTTTTCATTTAGGAAGCAGCTGCTTATTTACAGCACGTTGAGAGTTCTGCTAAACTTAAGTCTTCTAAAACAAATAATTTCTCCCTAAAATAAAACTACTGTTAAACTTGTCATTTGAAGTATTTGGTAATCTTGTGGAGAAGAGTGTCATTTTACCTTAGATTTGCTCTTCTCCACAAGGTCACTACTTGCCAGTTCTTTCTGCACCTTCTTCTCTTATCACAAACATTTGTTCTTTTCTACCTCTCAAGCAATCCCCAAGGCTTTTAAGGCATAACCAGCAGGTCTGCAGGGCAGTTTTTTGTTTTCAAGCTAGGATGTTTCTGATAGCTGTGCTTGGGGATTACTGTTGCCAATCCTGCTCAGTGCTGAGTCAGCTGTCTGCTGTATCCACACAGTCAGAGGAATAAAGGTGCAAATATTTGCTATCCTACATTCCACTTTAACCAGTAGTTGCAGATTTTGCACTACCATACTGAAATAGATGCTGCAGTTCTTGCATTCTTTGGGAACTAAGAATTCCTGCTTAAAGAAGCATATTTTAGATTTAATGTCTGTAGCAGCTGTTTTCTACATTCCCTAAATGCATTGGACAATGCTGGTTGGATTTTTTTGTTAGATCATAGTATAGACTGTCTTCTCAAAACTAATTGTTTTATATCTGTCTCTATCTGAATCTGCAGAGGAACTTAAAGAAGGTAACACGAACATTTTTCTCCCTGTCTCCTGTAGCAGTAATCTAATAGAATGTATCTGTGTTTATGCTCTAGCAGGAACTACCACTCTTGCAACACCCGGTAGCTGAATTGCTTGTTCCCTGTAGGATTCTACATTGCACTCCATACCACAGAAGACAGGGTAGATGAAGCAGAAATATTAAACATGTTTGAATGATGACTCAAGAGACTTGAAGATAGATGGGCATGTATCAGCTAACATTACTCTGAACATTGCCCTGAATGAGCAGTTTTGTGCCATGGAGTTTTTCCTGTAATCATTAACTAGTTGTTAGTACATATAGAAATGGAGGAGTAAAACTCTATTGTAAAGGTACAAGTAATGGAGAGTGTATAGACGTCAAAGGGCAATTAACGTGCATTAATTTTGTTTCAATACTTCCATTCATATGAGATAATTGTAAATCAAAGAGTGCTAAAAGTATTTCAAGGCTTTGCAAATGAAAATAATGTTTTTCTCTAGAACAAATACTGCTTTTAAAAACATGCCTATGTCTCCTGTATCTTATTCTTGCTTTAACAAGACCTAAATAAAGGGAATGCACAGCTTGGATAACTACATGTGTGGTTAGGGGAAAATAAGGAGTACTTTTTGAAAAGAAAGCTAAACACTGGCACCATTTTTTTCCTTGGTGATTTGTTTCCAAATCACCCTTCTCAAATAGTTTCTATACTTTCTGAACATTGCTTTATTGGAAAATTGGTATGTTTGAACATTATATGAGAGATTTAATTTTTAAAAAATACAAAGTTTTAGAAGTCTCATCTGAATAGTGAAGCCTTCATGATGAACAGCATGAATTGGAGGAAAGAGGTTAGGCTCACATGTTACAGCACAGATATCCAATGAAAAAAAAAGAAAGAAAATCAGGTCTTCATTTTGCCTGAAATACCTGAGCAGACACAAGTTGCGTTTTCCAAACATGCTATGGGGCAGAAACTGAGTTACAAATTTTTTGCTTCTAATTTTGAGCTACTGACTTGTTACCATTGTTTTAACTAAAAACTTCTTATAAGATAAATTTTACCTGAAAAGCTTAAATTGTGTGGAGGTTTTTTTCACTAATTTCAGTTTCAAAATATGGTCTGGAATGTAGATATCTTGGGAATGAAACAAATAGAATGTTAAGTTTCAAATTTCATTTAGGAAATACCAAGACATTCTATGTTTCTTTTTTCTTACAATAACCCTTTTGAATTGGTCATTGGTCATGTGAAATATTTTGATATTATAGAGTCTTGTGCTTTTAAAATTATACTAAGCATCATACTTCCACATATTTACTGAAACTCCTTTTTTCCTTGGAATCAGCAATAATTGTTTGCCATCTAGCTTTTAAGTTTCTTTTTTTTATTTCATGAGTATTTGTTCTTTGTATTCTAGAAGAGGAAGAATTTGGTGAATTTGGTCAACGAGTCTTTATTGGTATGCAATGACTAAAGATAAGTAAAATGTTTGGGGTTTGATCTAGCTTAAGTGCTTGAATGAAGTTCAATAAAAAGCTTTGTTCTTTATATCACCTGAAGACTTACTATATGGAATACAGCTTACTCTGTTTTCCAAACATCAGGAAGTCTCTTTCTTCCTAATAATGCTCAATCTCTCTATTTAAATCTTTCCTCTTGTTAGGTTCCTACAGAGACTTGGCCACTGCTATTTTAACTTGACTTCATGATTAATTTTGCTCAAAAGTAATGTCAGTCATCCACTGAGAATAATCATGAGGGCTTTCATTAGAAAACTACACCTATATGTGAAGCTTTCAGAGTTGGATGGTCAAGTGCAGAAACAAACCTACCTCTATGCTTATTAAACCATAGTGACCTTTAAAATACATGTTCTGGAGGCTGGAGCAAATGTTCCAGACTTGCCTCATGAGAGTGAACCACTTACACTATCAAAAAAATTTGATCTGTTCCCTAGGGATGCCTCCGGTAGTCAGAAACTTCTCCAGCTTGTTTGGGGATCTTTCAGAAGTCTTTAATTCTAGGCTAATGTTGATCTGTTCCCTAGGGATGCCTCAGGTAGTCAGAAAGTCTTCTCCAGCTTGTTTGGGGATCTTTCAGAAGTCTTTAATTCTAGGCTAATTTTCAGGTGACTTTCAATGGGATTTAACTACTCTGTAGCTGTCATTTAATGCTCAGAGATTCCACCAAGCTGTCATATCAAGTGCAGCAATGAAATTCACTAACCTTCACCTTGCAAAAACCACAGAAAAGGTAGTATGTTGTGTGGCTTAGAAAGAGGCCCTCTGGGCTGAAGAACTAGTTGCCTGCACTGTGGGCTGTGTTTTCCAGCAGTGTGCCTTTGCCCCATCCAGCTGGATTCCGCAGAAGCATGCGGCTGTGCCGCAGGAAGGCCCGGCTCAACCAGCAGTCCTGCTACTCCCGCTGCCCCAGCAGCTGCTACAGCACCCTGGCAGCTCCCTACGAAGAGGTGGTCAGGTACCAGCGGCACCCAACAGACCGGCACAGACTGATTATCCTCGTGGGTAAGAGCTTAACCCTTCGCAGGCAAATTTCAGCAGGGGTGTCCTGCTGCTGATTGCAGTGCTGACTGTGCAGGCAGCTCTCAAAGCAACACTTCAAGAATTATTGTTATTTGACCCCACTATTTGGGTTAAAGTTTAATGCAGGTATTGTCTTCTTTGCTTGAGATAGTGAGTGTTAAAAACAATAATAAAGTCCTTAGAAGAAGCCAGTTACAGATGTTGGTTGATAATGGATTTTACTAGGGAAGTGATTCCATTTTATATTCAGCTGGGACTGAAAATGATGAGATAACATTGCTAACTTAATAGAAAGATTATTTACATGGAGGCATTTCCACAACCAGTGTTAAATGCATAGATATGACAATAATAAGAAGAATATTTAACTCCAGACTAGAACAATCTCAGTAATGAACAGTATGGAAAGATACCTTTAATAATGCCTGTTATAGGACATACTGCATTAAGTGGGCTGCAGGCTCTCAAGGAGACTCGAATTGTGGTGACTGAAGGGAGGATGCTGCACTGTTCTATGGTCCTGATAAAGCAAACTGAGTAAAGGCAAATCCACTGTCCTTTCCAAGTCTGGAAGTATTTGACAAGTTTTTTCTTTTAAAATAGTATTGCTGAGTTGCCTCCTGGGTATGGCTATATTGCTGGGGAGTGATTTGTCAGTAATGTTAGCTGCTGTTACCCTGTCAGTAATATTAGCTGCTCTTCCAACTTTCCAGGGCCCGCAGGAGTTGGTGTGAATGAGCTACGGCGAAGGCTAATCACAAGTAACCCACGAGAGTTTCAAAGTGCCACACCTCGTATGTAATTCCTCTTTCCTCCACTACCCCAATTCAAACTTGAATAGGGAATGCCAAGTACCTTCCTCTTGCCTTTGTGTATTTATACACTCTTTGCTCTATGGCTGTTTCTTCAGCTCTACTGAAAGCCAGTACTGTTTGCTTTCTTAAGGGTTAGTTTAAAATACTATCTATCTCATTTTGGCAAATTAGACAAAGGTATGTTCAAGTTCCAGCTTCTGAAACCATTAAAAGCTTTATGGAGATGAAAAGTTATCTGCATGATTTGGTTTAACTTTAATGTTTGCTTTTCCTAGATTAAAAAAAAAAAATTCTTGGAGACATTTCAAGTTCTTAGGGTTTAAGTGCTCAGGTATGAGAATGAAGACAACAGAAGTTGGTGCTTAATAGGCTTTGCAGCTTTCCTTATTAGCCTTCTAGTCTCAGATGAGGCTTATGCAGCTTAACTTCTGACGTAACAACTGAAATTATTTCTACCTGTGCTTATTTGGTTCTTGTAATTTAGATAACCAAACTGGAAACTATATATCTGAAGCTAGCTGAAAATTCATGACTTAGCGCTTAAGGTCCCAGATAAGGGGAAGGTGCAAGTGTGGGAAACTTGTGGGATTTTTCTGAATGAACTTTAAAACAAATTGCCTCTGAAGAGTAAAGAGTTGTGCAACTAGTTCCAAGGCAGTTCCTGATTGCTTTGAATCACAACTATTTGGATTAAACTACTCTTCCATTCCTAGAAATTTAGTTGTGCTTTGATGACTTTTAATGACTTGTCAGTGGCAAACCATTACAGTATATGGGGCTTTTGTTCTGGATTAACAAATGGAAATAACTCATTATTTATGAAAATACTGATTGATAGTTCTTCATGAAGTTCTCATTTTCACTTATAAAGTTACAATAATTTAGTTGCAGCTGTTTTTTTTTGTGTGTTATATCATCCTTCAGACACCACTCGTGTTCAGAAAAGTTATGAAATGAATGGTCGTGAATATCACTACATATCGAAGGAAACTTTTGAAAACATGGTGTATAGTCACAGGTGAGTAGGAGAGATGAGTTACATCTTTATTACCTAAAATGCAACATGATCCAAGAAAATACAGTTTTGTAACTGGTCCCAAGTCTGGGTTCCTCTACTTTTACTGTGTATGTGTGGTGTAAATTTGTGTCAAACTACTTGACACTGTTTCTTCAAAGACTGTGTTTGTGCAGTTGCAAATAGCTCCTCCACAATTAATCTCAGAATCCTTCTAAAAGGAAGTGCACTCTCTAGTCCTGAGCTCATTAGATGTGCTTGTAATTTATGAGTTTAACTCTCCAGGAAACCAGACTGCTTTTGAAAATTTAGCAGTACCTGTTCCTGACCTACAACTCCACTGCAGGATCTCTGCAGTGATGACACGAGTAGTTGAACTGTAAGGGCTAAATATTCAAAAGTGTCAGCTCCTTTCTATGCATCAATAATTTCTCTAAGACAGACCAGCTCAGCACTACAGAAGCTACACTCATTGAACTGTGCCAAGTGCTTTGACATCTTCAGACTTAAGAAATTATTTGTAGTATATAATTGACAAGCATTGACAAGTAAAATCACAACCTCTAAACACAAAATTCATAAAACCATGATGAGTAAAAAATGCATGTTTTGGAAATGTATTGTAATGGTTTTTGTGCCTAGTGTAGCAGGGAAGAGCAAAGGAGAACAGTATTCTGTAGGTTTTATGATCATTCAGTCCTGATCACTGGATTGTGTTTGAAGATTTCACTTTTAAATGGAACCTTTTTGAAACTCAAATGCTCTTTCATTTTCCTTCTTCCTCACCACTGTTGCAGAATGCTGGAATATGGGGAGTACAAAGGGTACCTGTATGGTACCAGTATTGATGCAGTGCGAACAGTCCTTGATGCAGGGAAGATCTGTGTAATAGATTTAGAACCACAGGTGAGTGGTAAAGGGGCAGGGAATCTTCTGGAAGGAAAAAGAATTTTCTCTACATTCTTGAGCCATTGGAACAGTGTTAGTTGCTTTGTCTTGTTTTTCACTTTACCTCATGGTGCTTATTAATAATAGATTATTCTTTTCATGTGTCTTAGGGGGTGGTGGTGGTACTACAGTGACAAGTATGTTGAGACAGTGCATTTTTTACCAAGCCAGCAGCTGCATTATCAGTTTGGATGGTATGGAAATGAGTTTACATACTTGCTTAAAGTAAGGATTAGTCTTTCACATGGACACCTGTTGCATGGGATTTCTTCCTCCTCCAAGCCCTAGTGTTTGAGACTTCTGTCCTTCTCTTAGCAATCTCAGAACACCCTTTGGTAAAAGCAGCAACACTTAAAGTAATCAAGCAAAAGCTGAAAATTTTAGTGTGCCTTTGTGCCTACATTTCTCTCCAGAAGTTACAGCTCTTAGTAATCTGCTTCTTTGCTTAGATGCTCTTCATTTTTATTTTCCTTCTATTTTTGCATTGAATTTGCTGATGAAGATAAGGCTAATAAAAGCCTGAGCCTGTAAATATTTAAGATACTTAGAGCTGTGTCTAGCTAAACCTTGCTAACCTTCTCTGAATTGCTTGCATATTTAGTACTTAGGAGCTGTTTGGGCTATGCTGTTTGAACATCTCCTCTAACTGAATGTAAAGAGCGACACCATAACTCAGTAATTCTTGGATATTTCCCTCTAATTATGCAGAGCCAATGTGTCTGAGCCTTAGGCTGGCAGTGGCTTGTGCTGCTTAAAATAGAAATTAAGTTACAAGATTTGTGGGGTACTACTCAAAAACTGAAACTGCTGTGAGAGATGGATGAGGTCACACCTTAGAAACTGTCCTTTGGCTTTCTTCTGTTAGATTTTTAAGCAAAGGGGTATAAGAGGGGTGTTGTGGTGTGGGGTGTGTAATCTTGCCACTTGGACAGATGTGCCACTATGATTTTTTTTTAGGGTGTGGGTTTAAAGGACAAGTTTTGAAAAGGGTATTAAGTAAGACCAGTGAGATAGCAGAACTACTGCTGTGTTGCATACTTTATTTTAAATCTGGTGGTTTGACCAAGTTTACATGCTATGATTTTTTTAGTTGTTTTTTTTTTTTTCATTCCCTCCACTGCTCTGCAGTAATTTAAAAATACTTATTAGCATTAGGAAATGTTACACAGTAAAGGAGTTCTGAAAGCAGGACACCTTCTTCCAGCATGGAACAATAAAGAGGTACTTGTTCCAAAAGTAGCTCCCTTACAGTCAAAAAAGAACAGGTATCAAATATATCTTTTATGTGGCTGATTGTAGATATTTGTTAGTGGCACTGTTCCATCATTCACTGGGATTGAAAGCGTCTCCTAATGATGCTACCAAGTAGAATTAAGTAATTGTGTGCTACAGATGCTTAACAATGTCTGTTCCAGGGATTATTAGTGAGATCTTTTTCAAGTAAGTGTTACTGAAAAAAGTGTGTCCTAGGTCAGAGGATCTCAGTATGTTGTAAACAACTGGCTTTTTATCGGAGTAAAACTGGGATGAATGCACTTGAAATACTTTATTTTACTCTTCATTTGTAGGGTATACAAATAGCCCGGACCCATGAGCTAAAACCCTACATTATATTCATCAAGCCACCCAGCATAGGCTGCATGAGGCAGACTCGTAAAAATGCCAGGATCATTACAGATTATTACGTGAACATGAAGTTCAAGGTGAGATTTGGGAATAAAAGCGATTGAGTTTATTAATCTGAGATTATGTTATCAGAACATAATGCATTCTATTATGCTACACTGTTAACTCTTAAAAAAACATTACTGTGTCTTTAGGCTCAAATCTAATAATTATGTTTTTCTGTGGATTTTGTTGGGATTTCTTTTCCCCTTCCAGATTGGCTTTGAAGCATAAGAATTGTAATTTGTAACCTAGGGGGCTGAGGCACTTTGCTTCAAAATGTCTTAAAGGAGAAGCTATTTTGCATATTTTTGTTTTATTTAGCTATCTTGTGTCAATATTTGAGTCAATATATATATTTACTGTTTGCAATTAAATTCTTGGAATGTGCTTTGTTAAGTAGTATTATTTTTTCACAGTTATAAGAATGTATTATTTCATGTATGCTTAGTTCCAGTATCAATCCTTTACTAAGTTCTGTAGATAAAACACAGATCCTGCTTGTAGGAAATGCATCTCTTATATTTAGAATATACAGCACTTTAACAGAATCGTTTCCACGCAAATCATCATCAAATTTAGCATCCAAATCTTCCAAATTGTACATTTTGGAGACCTCAATCTATAACTTTGTGGAAATGATTCATGATTGCTGTGACAGAAAGTAACATGGACACTGGGGAAATAAACTAAAATTTGGAAAATGAACACAAGCATTAGTAGATTTACTTTCCAGTCCCTAACATTCTCTGCCAGCATTTATCACTAGAGTAACTTTTTTAGGGCAAATGGAGCATCCTGAGACACAAAGTATTTCCTTGGGAAACATATGGCAGGCAGCTCAGTTTTTGAGACCTGGAACTCACTGTAGCAGAGGTACTTTATTATAGCAAACTGTAAATGAAATAAAGCAGACTGACATTATCTATTCACCTCTTGTTTATGTGGCCCAAAGTGTTTTACAGATGCTGTGCAGGTATGTTTCTCTACACAACACTGGAGTTTTATGGAATTTCTCTCTCTCACAGGAAGAAGATTTACAGGAGATGGAAGAATCGGCTAAGAAAATGGAAGCTCAATTTGGTCAGTTCTTTGATCATGTGATTGTGAATGACAATTTACAAGAAGCATCTGCGCAGCTGCTGTCTGCAGTACATCGTGCACAGGATGAGCCCCAGTGGGTCCCTGCAGTATGGATATGCTCAGACAGTCAGCCCTAATTCTAAGCAGCAGGCAGCTTCAGAAAGATTACAGCTTATGTTTTACTTCAAGAATAATCCTAATGTCAGGATTGCAAGAATTTATCTTTGTATGTGAGGGATTTGGAAGAGGATTAGGAAAGAAGCTCCAACAGGAGATATAATCATACTATGTTCTGTGTAGCTTTTGAGCTTTTTATGTTACACTTTTGTACCAAAAAAAAAGGAAATACTGTGAGTACTCAATTATAAGAATAAAGAAAAATCTATTTTGTTGCATGTATCTGTGTTATTTACTTACACATAAGTTCCGAAAGGTCCTTTCCTTGTGTTCTATTATGCTTGTTCTGGTTCTGTGGTGCCTTTACATTCTGGAAGCCTTACAAATTATATTAAGTCAGAATGTGCTTTTTTTGCATGGTGATTGTCAACAGAGTGTTATTTATGAAGGCATTGGTTTGTTGCTAATCCTTTTTACCTTTTAAGACAGGAGTGGTGTTGGCATAATATGAATTACTCCAAAACCCAGTTATCATCATAATACATGTAAATATATCTTTTCTGCTCTTCCATCAACTCAAGTGAGTGCAAACTGACAGAATGTGGACTTACCAAAGAGGAAAATAATCAGAAAACCTTTCTCTTGTTGGTTTGGTCTATGGTAGCACAGTCTCCTCATCAACGGGTGCAATGCTTGCGGCAACGAAATTCCTCACTCTCTCCACTTTGTAGCTGTCTTGCCACCTGAGGTTCACAGATGGTTATTTTCTTGGCCTACCTCATCTTGGAGGAAAATCAACAAAAGAGAGTTAAGCAGTCTAGAAAGAGGTTATTTAAAGACAAGCATTACAGCCACCAGGATGCCTGCTTGTTCTAGAGCCAGGGCTTGTATTCCCTGTTTAGAGGTAAAATGGGAGAGATGGAAGCTCCAGTATGTCATTGATGTGGGTAAGTACTGGTGAAGGGTGAGATAGCAGCCAGCTCTCAGCTGCTAGTCTATGACCAGCTTCCCCACTTCTGCCTAGTCCAGCATTTGTCGACTTTCTCTTTGCCTTTTTTCCATGCATTATTTCTTACTTTTTTGGTGTTTTGTTTTTTTCCGATTAATTAATTTATCAGTTTGAGACCCTAGCTACAAGCTGAAGCAGTCCAGAACCCTTTTCCCCTTGATTTCGCTTGTCTGCAACCCGAGAGAGGACGACTACCGCGGAGCCCGCTTCGCTCCGATAAGCCAGCCGCCGGCGAGAAGGTGCGGCGAGGGCAAAGGGGAAGCCGGACCTCCCGGCGCTGGGGGGGCGCAGCCGCGGCGCGGGGCGGAAGGAGCAGCAGCTCCTCCCCGCAGAGCCGGAGCTGGGCGGGCGCGGCCCATGGCGGCGCGGCGGGCCGGCCCCGGCATGGTGAGGGGGCGGTGGGGCCGGAGCGGGATGGGGGGGGGCGCAACTGGCTCCGTGGGGCTGCAGCCCGGGGGGCCCGGCGGCGGGAGCTTGGCCCACCTGGGCGCTGTTGCTGCAGGGATGTGGCGGGGCGCTCCCTAGCAGCCCTGCTCCTGGGAGGCGGAGCTGAAGCGCGACGCGGGAGCGGAGCACCCTGGTAGCGGAGCGCCCTGGGAGTGCGGCTCCTACATCCCCGCCCTGCTGCATCCCGCGGGAGGGGGGACTGTAACCCACCGCAGGGTCGCACGTTTCTGTTCATCTTTGTTGCGGAAGCAAGCAAGCATTTCCTCGTTGTATTTTTTCATATAAACCTCTCAAAAGATAATCTGCAAGGGTTTAACAAATCTGTGAAGGCTGCTTCAGTGTTTTTAAACATTATGGACATTTAAACCCTTCCCTCTCAGCATCCTGAAATGGACAGCCGGGGAGCTGGGTAGTTTGTTTTTTCCCCCTGAGTTTCCAGGTGCGTCCCACTGTCTTGTGGCCTGGCTCAGGTGTGCAAACACAGGGTTTGACCGAGGCAGCAGCTACCTGGTTTGTAGGAGTCTCTTGATTTCGGGGGCACTCTAGAGCACTCAGCGGCTCTTCTGCTCATAACAAAATGTTCATGGGGACCTGTCCCCAAACTCACCCTTTCTATGAAATTTGGGGTGAGTTACTTCAGACTCTGTGAAACTGCAAATAGACCAAAGCTGATAGCTCTGTGGCAGAGCTGGGGACTGTCACACAGATGGACAGATAAGTATTTACCACTGGCTGCTTGCATGTGGTTTCCTGTGTTGCAAGGAATAAATGATACAGAAATCAATGCGCTTGCCAGTTGTTTTGTAGAAGGTAATAAAATAGAGAGGTACTACTGAGTACAGAATTACTACTGTATAGGCAGTGAATGCTGTATAAAAAGTTTGTGGCTTTTGTTTGTTTTTATGGGGTTTTTAGCATTTAGTTTTTTAAATACTAAGTATCCTAAATATTTACTATTTACTGCCACAAGAATGTTGGAAACAATAAAAGTAACGAGATCTGACCTTTACCAATATTATTTTCCCTTATGGTGCACCAATATAGTGTGATCAGTCCCCACCAGTTTGCTGGGTGCCACTTAGGGTGTGCAGTTCTCTACCTGTGTAAGTGGCACTTGCTGTCAGTCTTCAGCATGGCCAAAATCCAGGTGAGAGATTTGAGGTCTAATCCCACAAATGCTTCCTTGCATGAAGCATCTCATTTGCTTTGGGTAAACAAACCAATGTAAACCTTGCTTACAGGAACCTCTGCCAGCATGCAGAGTGAAGGGGTTTTTAGTGCTAGTAATATTTGCTGCCATTGAACAACCTGCCCTTGTTTCAAATGGGAGTAGTTCTGGGTCCTGACCCAGGGGCAGGAGGGTTCAGCTCCAGCTAATCCTGGCTGCCTGAAGTTTATTTTTAGCTCAGAATTAGCTGAGGTTCAATGTGAGCAGCGTGAGGGAGCCTAGACCAGTTCACAGTGCCTCTTTCAGGGAACGACTTCAGATGATATGGGAAAGAAACAAGTGGTAAGTTTGTGGATCCTTGAGTCTTACCAGTCTTACAGCCCCTTTTATTTCTGGTATCTGAATTTTCTGAGCATGGGAAATACTTTTTTGTGTATATTCTTCCAATATAATTGTGTAGTACAAAATCTGAAAGTTTACTCCTTTTTCTAGATAAGAGAAAGGTATGAGCTCAGTTTCAGATTATTATCTGGAGTTCCTTTTAGATTTTAAGTGTTTGACCTGCTGGTAAATTATATGGAAAAACTATATTTTATAATATTTAAAAGTATTTTCATAAGTGAGCTTATTTCTTTTTATTGTTTTTATTATTGTTCTGAATTTACATCTTCATTTATAGGAAATACTCAGCTCACGTTGTATACTGTACAACTATACTGAATGCATAATTTATTACAATATATTTATTTAAATGGAATAACTAATAAGCTTTCTAGTGAAAGTGGTACCTTACATGAAAAGTGAAAATTACTGAAGCTGAAATGCAAGTTGTTTCTCACACACAGAGGTTAGCTGTATGTTCCTACTGCAGTGCCCATCAGAGCTGTGGTAAAGGCATATTAGTCCAGCATCTTTTACATCCTGCTTTTATGTGACATCTCCATTAGGAATGTCTGGCCATTTAGGAGGCATACAGAGCAAAACATACCTTGGATGTTCTGATCTGAAGCTGTTTTCTGAGAGGTGGTTTCATACTGGCAGAAACTGACTGTTGTCTCTCTCTTGTCTTTCAGTGCCCGCCTCGTGCCCTTCCTCCAGTGCCAAGGTAAAATCGTTGCATTCTGTGGAACTGATCATGATGCTGTATTGGAGATTTTGGAAGTTGTAACATTAAAAGAAATAAGTTTCATAAACATCTGAGCAGTAAAATTGCTTCTTTTGCCAATTTGTTGTCCCAAAATGCTTTACAAGGAATGCAAAACATTTTAAAGTTTTATAGAAGCCAGGAAATTTTGCCGTATTACCTCAGTTTTAATACTCATGAGAGCTAAATAATTTAAAAACTTTTGGACAAATATTCCAGTTTTAATGTCTAGTATAGCTAAATTGTTGTTCATTTTAATCTCTTCTTCCTCCCTCTTTCTTTTATGTTCTTTAGTTTATTTGAATCACAAATACTTAAAACCAGGAATTTCTGGAATTAGGCTAGATATTCTTTAATAGGGAGTTAGGTATCTATTAGTTTGATGTATTATAGGGAAAAAATTGGGCTTTTTTTCAGTGTGAAAGAAAAGCAATTATATAGTTTTTATGAGAGGGTACTTGAGAATTCCTTCAAAGTACCTGCAAGAAAATGTGATGTTTATGATTGTCGACAGTGTCTTTTTAGTGATGTATGTGCTCAAATGTTTCATAACTTCTGTTGGTTTGTTATATACCAGGCAGTAAGACAAGTTTTAATTAGCCAGGTGATTAAAGCTTTTAATCTGATCCATAGCTAGCCAATGAAGAAACTGTGTGTAGTCACCAACAAAGTGTTGAATCTTGCTGATTGCTTCGTACCCTTAACCCTGTTATACACAACTGCTCATAAAGAGGAGGGGGGATAAGGAAATTAACCATAAAAGCAGCAGTGGGAATTTCACAGTTGTGAATTGTAATTGATTCAAAACTAAATTTATTTTCATCTTTTTACACTGCTCATCAACAACTTTCCTTCTTCAATATGAAGTGGAAGCCAAGGTGAGTTATTAAAGAGAACTACAAACATTGGTAGCTCCTTTTGGTGCCACTCATTCTCTCTTTAAAGATAAAGCCTCATACTTTTCCTAAATGCAGGCTGATTATTTAAACTGAATATCTGTGCATTGTTAGAACTGTTGTTTTTCTTTGCTCTCTTTGCTGTTGGCTATTTCCATCAAGGTAACTGAAGTGTTGCCACTGTGCTTTAAACAATAAGTTTATTTTTCAGAGCATTGTTCAGAGTATTTCAGTTTATCACTTAACACACATCCATGTATATTTTGCACCTTTGCTGCACACATAGGACTTCTTACCCTGATTTCTTACTCTGTTTTCCTACCATCTTCTGTACTCCTCCTTGTGTGAACTGGTGAATTGTCATCTTACCTGTAAAAACAAAGGATGTCATAATTTGTAAAAAAGAATGTATTTCTTAACTTGCAATAGGATGGCTGCTAAAAAAAGGAAATTAAGGTTTCTCCTTGCTGTGCACCCATACTTCTGTTTTGTGTTATGCAGATGAAATTCCACTCAGTCGTCCCAAAAAAAGGAAACCCAAAGGAAAGACTCCATTAGGTAAGGTCCTGCCAAGATTAAAAACTGTCCTTTTATTCCTTCCATTTTTTTCTTTCTAACTTCTTTGCATAATTCATTAAGTAGATATTTCCAACTGTAAGCTGCTTATGTTGAATGCATTAAACTCTTGAATTTTTGAATGAACTAAGATAAAACTCATTTAGCAGTCTGATTCAATTTCAGTCCTTGGCCAAATAAAGTCACAAGTTAATCACTCCATTGTCACTGAAGAGCTGACTGTAAAAGATTATTATTTGCTGGTTACTTTTGCATTTTTGCACAAGAAAGGTTTATAAAAGGTGGGTAAACTTAACTTTGAAATGGAAACAAAGATTCAATTGTTACCATAAAAATTGCAGTCCTTGAAGGTGCTACTAAAAAACAGGTGCGATGTAAAATGGAGAAGTAATTTTGTCTCTCTGCATCTCATCATGATGCTACTGTACTATAATTTGAATTCATTTTAACCTTTCACGGAAATATAATTCCTCCAAAGTGTAATAATTAATTGCTCAGACTGGAGTAAATATCCTTCAGTGGATTTTTTTCTGCTCCTTTTTTAATTCTTGTGCTGTATGTTTAGCATTTAAATTTTCTTTCAATGTGATGCCATTTTGCCTTAGCACATATCTGTGTGGATCACCTTGTAATAAACTATTAATTTTTTCTTGGCTCTTGCATTATAATTTTGGCACACAGAAAAGAGAAATATAGAGGTGTAGCTCTTTCCAGTGATAGATTCTTTTCAGGCAGTCCTCTGCAGTATGCCCAAATGGGAACTGTGCTACTTCTTGGATACTTAAATATCCTCCTGAGCATCATACTGTTACTGTGAAATACCTTTGTATATTTCTACTTCTCAGCACTGATTCTCGACTCTTACATTTCCTATAGCCCATGCATTTTCATCCCAGTTGTTGCTCAGCTGGGCAGCAACTTAGTAAATGGCAGCTTTCTTTTGCCTGTTTCTCAGTGGCTCTGAGTTCAGGCTGCTGGGTCTTTTCCTGTGGTTTTTAGATGGCATTGTGCAAGCAGCGGTTCGTCGGCAGTCTGAAAGCAGCGAGCCCCTGACCCCTGAACCTCCTGATGCCCCTCCTCAGAGGAAACGCAAGAAGAAGAAAGTACCTACTGGTACGTGAGATAGTGGTAGATGGGAAAGAGAAGTGAATAAAACTTGGGAACACAGAAATACTACTGGACAATGTGTGTTTAGGTTTAAAGCATTTCATGTGCTTCTGTACCTAAAATAGCTGAGAGTAATCTCTGGGTGAGTGGTATCTTAGTTCCACTTTCTGGTTTCAGATTTCATAGGGTACAAACCTCCATGAAAATAATAGATATACAGTTTTGGAAATTATGTAATACTTTACATCATTCAAAGCTCAGATCTTGACTTATTTTGCCACTCTTTTTATATAATAACTATTTATGTATTTAGGTGAATGTTTTTCCATTTTTATGAAAGCTGTGAAACTTTCATGAGTTGCGTTGTTTTTTTTTAATCTGCAGATTCTGAGACCTCTTTTACCCAGCAGAATGTGGCATCCCTATTTCAGAATGGAAATGGTGTGGATGTCCCTGAGGCTGAAGAAACGGTGATCCGCAAACAGAGAAAAAGAACAAAGTGAGACAAAACTAGTATAGCTCATAATCTGGAATAGCTCATAATCTGTAACAGTGACTGTGGCTGAGGAGTATTTTACATTGTCATTTGGCAAAAATGTCAAATCTTGAAGCCCACAATACCATTTGGCCTGTGCACAGTTCTTTCCAGGGTTAAGATCTAACTTTTTTCACTTCTTTGTTCTGTGCATACCTGGATACATTACAGCTCTAATTACATGTTCATGAGCCTAATAGTTCAGTCACAGACATGAAGAAATTAGAATTTGGAGCTGCTTTCTATCATCCTTACTGTCTTAATTATATGAAAGTTAGCTTTTTTTCCCAATTATTCTAATATGTTCTAATCGTTAATCACTTGATATGGAATTAGTCTTGTGGTTTTAGTCAACTACCTCCATAGGAACTTTAGTCCTTAAAATTATAAACAGGGTAATATTATACAGGTCATAGTCTGATAGATTCTTATCAGTCAGGTTAGGGATGTTAAATGTTCTTCGGAGCCTTTGGATGTTACACTCTATCTCCTAGTCTTTCTCTGTCCCACTGTGTGTTCTGTGCCAACAGGAAACCTCGGCCAGCCGAAGTGAGCTCCAATGAGCTGGAAGTGGAGGAGGAAGACATCATTGAAGATGAGCACAGGAAGAGCCCAGATCAGCAGCCTGTGTTTGCTGCTCCCACTGGAATTAGTCAGCCTGTTAGCAAAGTGTTTGTTGAAAAAAATCGTGAGTTCATATTGTGATTTAAGTAATTTAAGAACATTCTTGCAATTACAAGAAGCATTATTGTATCTAAAATCTAAATACTGTAGTATTGGGAAGAATTTTTTTTTTTAAGTTTTCCAAAACAGAAATTATGTGGAAATAAATACACATGATAATTTTTCCACAGTGAATGGTGGTGTTGCTGTGCTGATATATTTGGTTTGATTTTTTAATTCCATGGTGGAAGTGAAAAAGGTTTCAAAGTACCCAGCTGAGCTTTTTTGACTTAATATTGTCACAGTACCTTGAGAAGAAACTATTACTTACAAAATTCTTTCAAGTGAAAGTTTTTTGCAGGGCATTTGTGTTTTTCTGTTGTTTTGTTTGGGTTTTTTTGTCCCAGGGAACACTGAGTAATTTCACAAGGTGCTTTGCACATGGTTAATTCCATAACCTGACCCACCAGGATGCATCATTCTGACCAGAGGCATCCTGTATCATTGTAAGCTGACAAAGGGTAGGGAGTGAAGAAATTTCTGATGCTTACAGCTTTTTAACACAAATAAGCATTAATGTAGAAATGATGGTGAAAGGAAAGAGAGCTCTCTAAAACTGATCTCCTTATCTTTTCAGGGCGTTTTCATGCAGCTGACCGTGCAGAATTGATTAAAACCACTGAAAATATCAATGTACTTTTGGACATGAAGGCTTCATGGACTACTAGAGATGTTGCCCTCTCAGTGCACCGAAGTTTCAGGTGAAAGATAAATGTTCTGATGTAAATAAACATAAATCAGGAGTTTGGTTTGAGGTTTTGGGGTTTTTTTCCTCCCTGAAAATTAGTGTCTTTCCTCTATAGTTGTGGTATTTTTATTTCTTTTGGATATTCCTAATAAATGGTGGTTCTGGATTCAACAGGTATAAAGTTTATCAGTCCTCTAGCTTTTGGTATTTGTTATCAAGATTATGAATTTCTAGTGTAGACATCACATGTGACATACAGCTTATAAAAAGAATAACTAAGAAAGCCATATTTCAGAGATTCAAACAAAATCACAATAGCAAGAGATTGAGCTGTTTACCAAAACATTAGTCACCTAGAGAAATGTGTTAGAAAATAAGACTGACCCATCATGTGTATCACCAGAATAAAAGTACCTGAATTCAGACAGTTCTCAAAGAAAAATCCTGGTTGGTGGGAAAGAGGGAGGAGTGAAATTGCACTGTGGGAATAAGCTTGCACATAATAGCAAAACCATTACTTTTTTAATAAGCAGTTGTTTTGTAATAGATAATGGGAAGATAACAGCCATGTTCTTCTGTGGTGTATTTTAGCTGGAAGCCTGTGCTTCCTGCTGAAGCTCTTCCTTAGCAATGAGGATATTGAAAAGACTGCCTTGGGGACAAGTTAGAATGTTGTGTAAATGCAAGTGACAGTGGTCTTGGGAAACTACAGGCAGCTACAAGTGAAAGTATTTGATGCCTGTGGCTGTAATGAAGGGAAGGCAAAACATCTTTGTTTTTTTAAGTGCTCAGGTTCTGGTGCAGTCTGGTGTGACGGGAGCAAACAGAACTCTTGCTTAGAATTTTTTAGACTAGATCAGAAAAAGCACTCAGAAATGATCTCTGAAAAGCCTTGAAAAGCAGGGTTAAACAGATGGACTCATAGGCCTTTTCTATCTATAGCTAATTCAAGATGTTAAAACTGGTCTAATGTTCTTTCCTCCAATCAGGGTGTTTGGCCTCTTCAGCCATGGCTTCCTTGCTGGTTATGCTGTATGGAACATCGTGGTTATCTACATTTTGGCAGGAAATGAGCTTTCCATGGTTTCTAACCTGCTTGAGCAGTATAAGACAATAGCGTATCCAGCTCAAAGTTTGTTCTATTTTTTGCTGTCTATCAGTACAGTCTCAGCCTTTGACAGGTAAAACATATTTTTATTTGAAAGGTGTATATATATAATTTGTGTTTATGATGTTTCGTCCTCCTTGGCTGACTCAACACAGAAGGGTGTACTTGTGCATCCAGACCTTTGGTACTCATATCTGTCTGGTGCTTGCACCCTGCTTCAATGTACTGCTGCTGTATGTGGGATCAGAAGGTGAAACAAATATAAGAGCTGACCTGTTTTTTTCTGGTGGGACTGTGAAGAGGAGTGGAGAGCAACAAATGTTTCTATCAGGTTCACTTTCATATGAATCCATTACCTAGTCAGGTTTGAAACATAGCTGAGTAAAGAGTTTTCCTAGCTTTGCTGGGGCTTCTGCATTACAGATTAAGAGTGGGAATGAAAAAAAAGAAGCTCAAAAAAGATCATTAACTAGACTAGATTAATGGATGTTACAAATGTTTTTTTTTTAGTTACAGGTAGGATAAGCCACTGGGGAGTTGGTGCTATGAAAAAAATTGTGACTTTTTTCCCTCCAAGGATGGCAGGGAGGAGTCCCAAGTTACTCACATTTGCTCCTGTAAGCAGTGTAAGCAGTTACATTAGCATGGACACTGAACTCAATGGCAAGGTTTAGAGGGGACAGATGCCCCCAGGTTCTCCCTGTTTCAGAAAGGTCTGCAATGGGAAACCTCATGGAACATCTCATTCATTTTGGAATTGGCATAAGGGGACCATTGCCATGTGTGTGGATTAGGCACTGTTAGAGAGGCACTGTTAAGATTAAGACACTGTTACAGAGGCAGAAAAAATACCTTGCAATAAGTAAAAGAACAAAAGAATATTGTTAGAGGAACAATATCATTGTCTTACTGGGCTGTGTTCATGACTCTTGATTTTGTTATCAGGATTGATCTGGCAAAAGCATCAGTTGCACTGAGGGGCATTCTTACCCTAGACCCAGCAGCACTGGCTTCTTTCTGTAAGTATTTTGAAGTGGATAGGAAGCTGTCCAGAAAATATGGTAAATGGAAAACTCCTCTATACCCTTTTTACTGAAATCTTCCTCCCAGGTTATTTTCTGCTTTAGAGTAAATAACTTGCTCAGTAATTGATAATAGCAATGGCCATAAACACTTTGTTCCATAATTTTTAAAGCATTTGCAATAGTAGCATTAATGGGTTGTTAGTGAGGTAGTTCTTTTCCATTTCTGAATATAGAACACAAACCTAACAAAAAAACCAGAATCACAAAATGCAAGCTTTGATGCAGCTCATGGATTGCAAAAGTGCAGAAACCAGATTTTGATAGGTCAGAGGAATGTTAAAGAAAAAAGAATTAATTAAAACAGACTATGATTGGAGGCAGTGGAGTGAAATGAAAAAAAATGTAGTGATTAGTACCATGTCATCATGAGACAGCATTTTGGGATTTATATCTGACACCACTAATTCCATTTGTTCCAGTGTACTTTGCTGCTCTTATCTTATCCTTAAGCCAGCAGATGACATGTGACAGAATCCACCTCTACACGCCACCTTCGGAAAATGGCAGTATCTGGTAGGAAACAAGGAATCACTGTAAATTACAACCTAGCTCACTTAGGGACCTTGTCAAACTGGCAGATAGAAGAGATTGTACAAGATATGTAAGAAAGTATTGATGAAGGATTTTATTTCTGAACCTGCCTTTGAACCTGCATTTAAATACAAACCATAGTTTCATGTAAGGTGAATCCATGACCCACATGTAAGGTGATCCCATACAAAACTGTTACTTTCTGAAGTACCTATTAATGGACTCAAATTCTGGTAGCACAAATTTTTAAAGTAAACCAGGAGGAGTAGAACAAAAGGATTTATGTGAAAATTTGCTGGTTTGAGCAGTTAGTTTTTAGGGGGGTGGAGGTTTAGGGTTTCTGTGATCTTTGGTAATTGTTCTCTTTGCCAGGCCTTTGCAATGCAAGACCATCATTATGGTACAAGTAACTCTTTTCACATCTGGCTTAGTAAACTTGTTTTGATGTTACTCTGCTGCAATTGTTATTGTACCTTCTGTGCACCAATGATGACTGACGGTTTGATGTGTCTTTCCCAGGACCGCAGGTACAGAGGCAGAAATTGTTCATTCGTGGGTTGTGGTGAATCTCGTAGTGTCTATTCTAGTTGGGACAAGTTGGATCTTCTTAAGTTCCCGACCAGAGCTAGACCACAGTGAAGGTAGGACACATTAATAGGCAAATGTTCTCTATTCAGGTTGTTGGGGTTTTTTATCTGCTGTGCTCTGCATTTGCTGTTCAAGATTAGTCCTGAGAAATTTTGTGACTGGGGAAGAACAAGTATCTCCTAGCAACCTTGCGCAGCAAATGCTTCTTAGGATGCTGGTGTCTGTGTTTAGTATTATAAACATTAATTTAAAAATAAAAGCTTTATTTGTCCTGTCTGAAGCAATGTGAATTTTGAAACATTACAGAACATCTCTTTTCAATGAAGAGAAAAATAATACAAAATAATTCAATGGTATTTTAAATATTTGAAATGCATTTATTCTATGTGTGTCTTAGAAAATTCCCTAATGTTATTAATGTTCCTTCTGCAAGTGCTAAATTGGTTACAAGTTCAGTATTCTTTTCGATAGGACATTGCAGTAGTTTTGGGAACTCCCTAGCTTTGAAAAGTCAGATTTGTGCTTGCACAGGACTTCAAATGAGGATTGCTTGTGCTGGTCCAGGCTGGAGGAGGGGGAGCAAGTTCTTCTCATTGAAGAAATTTGGCTAGAAACTGGGCCTTCTTCCTTTTGTGTTCCATCTGGGATCCAAAAGGTGTGTCCTAACTCAGTGTTCCTGTCAAGTGCATGCAGCCTGTCACTTGAAGAGATGCTGTACATAAAAATTCTAAGTTTCAACTTAAAAGTCAAAACATATCCTAAGAACTTCATGACTTGAAGCACAGATTTGTGTTTGGGAGGCTGAGGATTCAACAGGCCTCTTCAAATTATTTTTGAATTTTAATGTACAGGTGTCTGTGTTTCAGCTGGCTCCAGTTACTGTGTTAATTTCTAATAAATAATTTAATGAGTTAAAAACCCCCAAACAACTAAGTGGCAGCCTTTACAGTCCTCAATGGTAAAATTGATAGATGCTTAAATCATATTTTAAACCGTTAAATAATAAAGACTTACACAGGGAATCCAGTGGCAGAATTTTGCTCAGGTTTTGATTAAATTTTTTGATACTTACACGTGCCTACTAAGATTGGAAAACCACTTCGGAAATTTCTAGAGAGAAATTCATTAGTACGTATTCCAAACAGTAGAGAAAGTTTAGTCTGCTAAGGATGGAGTATGCTAACTTAACACTGTGAGCCACAGAGCAAAGACTTCTAAAAATGAACGACCTCTAAACAGAAGTCTTCCTTCCTGAGTCTGGACACTCTCAGAACTTTACCAATCCCTCAGTGTAATTCAGAGTTGTGTTTCAGTGTCCATGTTGAATGCACGATGGTACTGCACATGATCAGCTGCTGCCAGTGTCACCAATTCTGTCAATTCTGGGGAGCAGCAATAGTTTTCTAAAAATATTGGTGGCCCTTGCCATCGCAGAGTTGATGATATGATTGGGATGAAAAGCAGGAGGCTTGGGGGAATGCCAGGGTACTTTTCAGGAATAGTGGAATTGTATTCAGGTGAAAGTTTTCAAAGAAAACATAATTCTTTCCTTTCTCTTTCAGAATTGATGTTTCATTCTGAAATTGAGGAATTTCCTCACGGAGATGTCATACCTAGAGTCCAGCCATAAGTGTGGAACAAGAATCTGCATATATTGCAGCTGTGACTGATGGCTCAACATGTTGTGTATTGTAGCTATGTATTATAATTTTCATAAAGAAAAAAAAAGTATTTTTATATTGTATATATTTCATGTTGATCTTTTTATGTATGTTACAGTTTCCAAATGTGATTGAAAACTTTTATACTTCTGCTTTTTATTTTACAAAGTAGATTATCCCTAGTGCATAAAGTCAAAGTGATTTTGTAAATACTGTTACCGACATAGCCAAAGACACTAGAGGGACGCAGAAGATCAGGTGTTCAGTGCTTTTTTGACTGCTGTACAGTCTTCAACAGCCTGCTTTTGTTACTAATGCAAACAGCAGTTAGCTTATCTGATTTGGTTAAATATTTTCTAGAGATTAAAAAAAAATCTTACAACAAAAGTAGCCTAAGGAAAATCTATAACAAAACAGAGTTAGGAAACATAAACCCCACCAAGTTAGTAATCTTAAAATAATCTACATTTATTTGTCATAAAATATTTTTCTAGAATAAAAGATTAAATTGACAGGGATTTTGTTTAATAATCCATTAAAAGAGGATTATTAAAATCCACTTTTTAAATCTTCATTTAGTTCTCTTGACAAAAATCTTGATGATGACAACTTCCTACTGGCTGACGTAGATAAAAGACACAGAAGTTTCAATGTTGCAACAGTTTGGTCGGTTAAATACATCTTCTCATCAAACAGGGTGTTTTTGTGTTGCAAACAGGATGTATCCATGTCTTGTAATTTCTCAACAGTCAAGAAGTGTAACTATTCCAAAGCCACTCACAAGAATGGTGTTCTGATTTCTCCTTATCTGGTATAGCAGGAGCAATCATTTTATTCACTGCACTTTCTAAAAAAACTTGGATTTCATAGATGTTAAAAATGTTCCTACCTGTTTTGATGGAGATTGTTTTCCACCAAATTGTTGTTTTGTGTTAGGATAGAATAGGAAACTTCTTCCTAAAATTACAAGAAAATGCTTTTTAAATTAACCCAAGAAGTCTGCAGCAACCCGCCTTCTATGCATATGCTATGACATAGCAGTAATTGTGGCAGGCAGTGGGTTTTGCTGACAAGATCCCACATTCCTTTTCCTTTATATTAAAGTGGCAAAATGAAAGCATTGCAGATGTGAATAAATACAGATACATTGCAGGAAGAAACAATCTCCTTAGTAAACACAGAAAAGATCTAGTTTGAAAGCCATTTATCAAGAAAATATCACCTAAAGCCCAAAACTTGTCTGTATGTGTTACTTAACATATATTGATTTTGCCTTGTTTGATTTGTGTGTCTGTGGGTGGTTGTATAAGGGGTGCACCTGTCAAAGTTCACTGAAGAATTACTGAACTTTTTTAGTAGTGAAGTTAAGAGTAGCCAGATAAGACTTGAAAGGAAATGACCTTTCAATGCTTTCTGTGCTAACTTTGTGCTGTTACCTGAGTTGCTTCAAAACAAACATGGGAATGTGAATAACTAGGGCTGTTGCTGCCCTGTTGAGGACTTGTGTTCGTTCAGCAAATTTTAAGTTATTCAAAAATTCAGTGTTCGTGACATCTTTTAAATGCTGTGGTAATCTTGGCAGGGAGGAGGAAGACATCTACAAGAATTAAAAGATGTTCCACAGCCGTTGAAGGGGCCTTAGCCTCTTTTGTAAATTGTTGTGGCTCTTGTGTCTGTATTTTTGTAAAACTAGAGCTAAATTACAGCTGGCACTGCATTGTACATTAAAGTGGAGAGATTCAGGGTGCTGATCTCCTGCAGTTGTGCACTGGATGTTCTTGCCATGATTTATTTGGCTGTAGGAGATGAGGGATGAGACAGGAAGTGTTCCCATGTAGTTTGCCACCACACTTTCTGCTGATGTTGTGTGCTTGCTTGTAGAGTCACTTACCTCCTGAAGAAGAGATTATTAATGGCATGGCTGCATGATTTTTCTTTCATCTTGATATGGTCAGAAGTGTAATTTTGCCCATAAAATATGGAGCTCAGGAGAAGTGTGCTAAGGCATCACATCAGTACAGGAAAAACTTGGATAATATCGCTTGATTTCTGACATTAAGACTAGGAATTGGCCTTCCAACCATCCCTTAGACAAAGTGATGCTAGCCAAGAGCCAGATTCATTCTTATTGTGAAATACAGTAATTTTTATATGGTTGAGCAGGGATTGAATTAATGAACTTAATGTAACCAGTATTTCAAGCCAGGCTTGCCTTTCCAGTGTATATTTTTAGGAGGGTCTGAGTATATCCATATTTAAATCAATGAGTTTTGAGGTTGCCATATAAAAAGTACAATAAACAGTTTGATGGCTAATTATCTATTTCATAAAATATTTTCATTCCATTAAGCCTCACAGTGAAACATGAGTTTAAGTGAGCTTTTTTTTTAGTTTCTTGTAAAGTCTTAGAACAAGTTTACAAAATAGATGTTTAATTCTAGAACATGCAATATTTGTAGAAGCCTTAACTGAAATGCCTTTGTGCATTTCCATATCTTTGTTTTTTAATGCATTTGTGTTAATGAAAAAAAGTTTTCAGATATGTTGGTGCCAAGTTCTTGTTTTTACATATATGAAACATATATTAAACAATTGCTGTAAAATAGTTAGAAATGATGGTACTACTTTTTCTTGTTTCCAGTTGTTTATCCATTTAAAATAAATCAGTCTGTCTGAGGATTTGGAATCGGGAGGATGAGGGGATGTCTGGGGCTGCTCCAGACTTGGGTGGACAAAGTCCCTGATCAGGGGCTGGATGCCACAGCTAAATTGTGTTAATTACTTAAATTGGTACAGTAATTTAATATTTGGTTAATTTCAACTTGGTTTAAACGTTACTCTCTCAAGGCAGTTTTCTCAACATAGAAGCCAAGGGGAGATTAATTTGCAGTGTGCCGTTTCAAAGTAGTTTTGGTATTGCTGAGGTAAACTTTAGGAGGGTTATGATTAGGTGAGAATTACTCGCTTGCATATTTCCAGCAGAATTAATTAAATGACTGAAGACTTTGGGAGATCAGAGAAAACCATCAGGTAAATACCTACAGCTAAGCCTAAGCCTTACCTGCCTCTTCGTTTTTTCCTCACAGCGGTGTGGAAGGTGCTACTGCATTCCTCAGGGCGGCTGTGCTTGAAACTGCTGTGTAAGTCCCTAGATACTTGCAGAAAGACTGTTTTCCTGCGTGTTATTTTATTTTTGTACTGTGCCCCGGGGCTGCTCCCTCCCTTCAGGGCGGGCAAGAAGGCCTCCCAGCCTGAAACCCGCCGGTTGCTGCTTCTGGCGGCAGATGCTTTAGGGGATGGTTTTTCCTTCCGTGTGTTGCCCTCCCGTCCCCGGTGCGTTTATTTCCCGAGCAGCTTGTTCGCCGCGGTCACTTCGCTGTCCCCCAGCCCTGCCCACCCCGCTCCCCCTCAGCCCTGCCCCGCTCCCCCCGCTCCCCCTCAGCCGTTTTCCCGCCCTGCCCCGGCGCCGCGCGGGCAGCGGTAACGGCCGCCAGGGGGCGGTGGCGGGGCCGCCATGTCGGACTCGGCCTGAGGGAAGCGGCCGCGCTGCCGTCGGTCGGCGATGTGGGGCAATGCGATGTAAGTGGGAAACCCAGTCGAAAAAGGAGAAATTCCCCAGTGCTCGTACACGCGAACTAAGCTGTTCGCTTTAATAATTCTATATTTGAAATTTATTTAACCTTTTCTTCAAACTCTAAAAGTTGTAGAGCCCTCCCTAGCTGAAAAATTGCCTGTACAGTTTGCCTGTTCTATATTCAGTAAAATAGCCTTGAGAGCGCGGCTATTCAGATGGACACAGACAGGCTTCTAACAGTGATACAGAGACAAAAAGCAAGATCTTCTTGTGGAAAAACATCCATATCCACTGCCAGATGTAATAGTTAATCCCCACAGTGAAAATAAACAGATTAATGTACTCTGGAGGAGGGGGGGATGATGACCCTCTCTACTCCTTCTCACCCCAACAAACAAATAAAACTCAAACCCCCAAAAAATCCCAAACCAAACCAACCAAAAACCACTTTTGAAAAAAAAAAAAAAAAAGAAGAAAAATGTAAATTTGAAATTGTTTAAAAGTCTCACAGTAAAAGAGTAAGAACAAAATATGAAACTAAAATTCTTCCATTTTCAATGCTTGTGATGCTGATTTTCAGGCAGAGCACCTTTGTAGGCCATGGTTCACCAAACTGCCCAAAATGGGTCATTTTACAAGTCCAACATAAGGAAAAAGAAAAGTTGCCCAAAAATCCTGACAGGAAATGAAAAGAGAAGCAATGTAGAGAAATGTACATTGCCATGCCACCAGCATCTGGGTCAAATACTAATAAATATGCTATTTAGGAAGGAAAACGAAACTACTTTATCCTCAAAACTAGTTTGAGGAAATCTAGTAATGTAGTGAAGAAAAATCATGGAAAGTATGCTGAACCACCTTTGTCAACATCACATGCTGCAGGCTCCAAGGATTCAAAATCATGTGTTCTCCCATGATAAGGAAAACTTGAAGCAGAAAGTGGAGCAGAAAAAAGAGCATGACAGCCAGCCAAATATATAATTCCACAAGTGTGTGATGGCTCCATCAGCTACTGTAGAACAACAGCCACCTCAAACCAAGAAAGCATTTTAAGAAAACTAATCTATAACTGACTTGCCAGATTTCACATGGGCAAAAGGAAATCTGCCTGTAAGAATATTTTTCTTTTGACTGCATGAAATGTGAGAATTAGAAAGATAATTGATACTGAATGTAGAATAAGCAAACTTTGAAAATAAAATGTAGTAGATAAACTCAGCATTGATGCTCTTGACCCGTATGTCATGTAAATTTTGACAAAACAGAGGAAAACCTCTGCAACCTTCCAGCAATCCATTCTCCTCCATTGCAGATGGATTTCATGAGAGGACAAGTGAATTCCATGAATCTGAGTGTGTAGGTAAATTCAGTAATAATGGTGTATTCTATAATAATATTGAAAAATAAAACCACCATTTGATTGCAGCTAAATTCATATGGGCTTTTGGGGCATTTTCCAGAAGTTTCTGGGAGTTTCAGATAAGAAACAAACATATATGTAACTAATTTATAGAGTAGAACCAGGTTTTTTTCATCTGGGAATTATGGAGGATTCCACAGGCACCTGTTTAAACCTAATGTTCTTTCCTACATCCTATCTCAAGTTCCTGGATGGATTTAATTATGTTAAATACCAAATGTTATTCTGCTACCAGGTTATTAGTAGACCACCTCAATTTTCAGTGGTTTCTTCTTTTCTAAACTCAATTCTTTGCTTGTCTGTTACATCCCATTGTTTCATTTCATGGTATGGTTCTTACAGCCCTTTGAGGTCTCTGCTGTAATGTGTACTGTTTCTGAATTTTAATAGTTTTTCCTCATTCATACAGGATAGGGATGGCTATCATTAGGACAAGTCATTACTGCTACCTTAGTTGTTTCAGAGGTTTATTAGACAAGCTAATATACTTCAGGAAAGCTATTTAATAGCATTAAAGGCATGTAAAGTAGGTATGTGAATCACCTACTTTGGTACCTGCCTCTTGTCAAGAGAGGTTCAGAACAGTGGTTTTCAAATGCTTTCCCATATTTTTACCCATCCTCTGGGTTAAAAACAACTTTGATAGCACTTGAAGAGGAGAGGGGTAGGGAAAAGAGAGAGGTATGGTCAAACTTTGTAATTAAAAAGAAAATATTTTCATCAAGTGGAAGAAACTGTTCTCTCTTCAATAGGTATTTGTTGCATTGAGACTTTAAAGTGAGGAATTCATGTATCAGAGGAAGTTGATGCTGAGTAGATCACATTTTCTTCTGTGTTCATTCATGCACAAACTGCTGTGGTATCAGTTCAAGACAGTGAGACACTCAACAGCATTTAGCATTATATTCAGGATAATGTTAATTAACAGAAGTTTTCTTTTATACAGGTATTTATTATTATACAGTGCTAAATGCTAGCATAATGAAAGGTGGCTGCAAAAAAAAACCACTTGTGTTGTTTTCACAACTATTTCAAAAGTAACCAGATTAGAGAGATTTCTGTTTCATTGGCCATAAGATTTTGCAAATGTATTGGTTTTATAAGCACCTTTGAAAATATATCACATGGGGCCTAAATGCAAGATACTTTGAAATTTCAAGTCCAAGTTTAATTTTAATTCACATGCTGATAACACACATCGTGTGTTATACAATATACTGATATGAGCAAGAGTAAACAAGTGTTCTGAAAAAAACCACAACCCACCAAACAATTATTGACAGCTTAAAACTGTCAGCTTGGAATATAAAGTCTTTGCAACTTGAATCTTAACAATACAGATCATCAACCTCAGATTTTGAAAACTTAACTGTATGCAAAAACTTCAGATTTTCAGAACAATTGTTTCAGTGGCAGGTAGTTGGAACCTTAAAATATGATTATACATCTTCCTTCCTAGCTAATATTTATTTTGCATTATTCCTTAAGAGAAAGCATCACAGTTAATGAGCAAAATGATATCAAACCTTTCAGTAAATATAATCTATGGAGTATTTTCAAGTATTTCTGGTTATTTTAAGAAGTCACAGTGCCTCTTAATTGCTTTTGTTTGAAGAGACACAGTTGTTGAGCAGCGGTAGTTCTAAGAGTAAAGACTTGTGGGCTTTTAACTTAAAAAATTTTGGTTTGATTTTCATAATGTCAGTACAGAAATTGGAACAGTGTTTAGAAATGTTTTTAATTTTTTTCCACAGAGAGGGCAGCAAAGTAACTCCACTGGAACGCACAGTGGTTTGAAAAACTTTGTACTGACATTGTTATTAGTACCCAAGTTCATTTTTATAGAGTCCACGACACTTGTTGCAAGAGAAGAAGCTTGAAAATATTAGCAGTTAAGCTGCCTGAAATTTTCTACATGTTTTAATAGTAGTAATATTTATTCAGAGGTCTGTATTTAAAATATGTAGAACTTGATGTGTGTTCTCACTTATTTTACTTGCTTTTTACATGTACTATGTTAGTGAAAAGTTACTTGCAGATGCTATCTAAAGTATTCAACTTGCAAACAGTCCAAATCTGTAATGGTTAAGAATTAAGAATATGGGGTTCACAGGAAATACTATCTTCTCCAAGAGTACACAATTAAGTTATTAATATTTTAAAATCAGAATAATTTTCTGGTTTCGACAACTATTTCCTTACCTAATGATTGAAATAGATTTTTTTTCCTGTAGTAACAAGAAGCTGTTAGTATGGCTGGACTATGGTGAAAACAGAAGTCTGAGAATTACAAATATAAATGGAGACAGATAGGGTAAGTTTATTGATAGGTTTTTAATCTCAAGTTTCACATGTTAAGTTTAGGAATATAGAGCTCTCTTCACAGCATGATGAGTAGAATCAAGTTTTTTGCTGATACTTTTATGTGGTCATGTAGAATTTTATGTGTCTCTCAGGTTTGTATGTGAATCATTTGGTCTTCAAGGCCTTGTAGCAAAGCTGCTGGCAATACAGCAGTATTCTTAAGGTTGGCTACAGGTCTGCTCAGCTATGGAAGGCTTGAAGACTCATGTGGAATGTTGTTTATGTCGAAAATT